CACCTCCTCCTCCTTCTTGTCTCTTCCCCTCTAGATGTGGGAGCTAAGATCAAGCTGGATCACATCCTGTATAAGGTTGGCGTGGGGACGAGGTGTGGTGAAGGAAAGCGTTTCCCTGACGACGGACCTGAGACCTTCTGCTCCTTCCCCTGGGCGGAGATGGTGGTGGAGGACCTGTAAGAGGAGGAGATCCATTAATCACATCAACCTGCGCGCTCCACCTCTGGTTCTGACCCCACCCTCTGTCTCCAGGTGTGGCAACAAGAGGTCCTGCGAGGTCCCCGTCACCGAGCTGGTGTTTGGTGAATACCCCTGTAAGGAGCAGACCAGATACCTGGAGGTGTCCTATACCTGCGCCACCCCTCCTCCACCACCTCCTCCTCCAACCAAACCTGACTGTACGTACACACTATGGATTTATACTGCTACTCTCTCAGGGACTCTCGCTTGAACCCTCAAACCAGGTCTTTACCCTCAAACACTCAATGAGGGTCTGAGGTTGAGGCTTCAGATAGGCTTAAGGTGGTCTGGTTCAGGTCTAAGGTGGTCCAGTTCAGGTCTAAGGTGGTCTGCTTCAGGTCTCAGATGATCTGGTTCAGGTCTTAGATGGTCTGGTTCAGGTCTCAGGTGGTCTTGTACAGGTCTCAGATGTCTGGTTCAGGTCTCAGATGGTCCAGTTTAGGTCTGAGTTTTGGTCCAGATTTTGGGGTTCCGGCTCAGGGAGTCAGGTTTGAATCACATCACATCACATCACACGTCATTTATCTGACGCTTTTATCCAAAGCGACTTACAATAAGAACATTTCAACCATAAGGACACAAACTCAGAAGAACAAGAAACAAGAAAGTGCAATTTCCTCAAATAAGCCGATGTACAACTTGCTGTAGATAAGAACCATTATAAGTCCAATGTAAGTGCTGCAGTTAGTTAGTGTGTTAGTGGAGGTAGAGTCTGAAGAGGTGTGTCTTTAGTCTGAAGATGTGAAGGCTCTCTGTGGTCCTGATGTCTTCAGAGACCTCCTTCCACCATTTAGGAGCAGGACAGCAAAGAGTGGAGATCTAGTCGAGTGTTTTGCTCTCAGTGAGGAGGACCAGCAGTTTATCACATGCAGAGCGGAGAGGTCAGAGGTCGGATGTCGGGTTGGACCAGTCCTGGATGTAAGCTGGACCCCATCCATTCACAGCATGGTACGTGAGCACCATGTTTAGAACTGGATGAGCCACCGGTACCAGTGAAGAGAGCGGAGAAGTGGAGGAGTGAGGGAGAACTTAGGAAGGTTACAGACCAGTGGAGCTGCTGCAAGTGTTGGTGACAAACGTCATAATCGATTTGTTGTGTCGTCATTACAATGAGTCAATGAGTCAATGAGTTAATGAGTCAATGAGCCAATGAGTCAATGAGTCAATGAGTTAATGAGTCAATGAGTTAATGAGTTAATGAGTCAATGAGCCAATGAGTCAATGAGTCAATGAGTCAATGAGTTAATGAGTCAATGAGCCAATGAGTCAATGAGTCAATGAATACTTAACTTGCACTACAATGATGGTAATAATTTAATGAATAAGCTTCAAGTGAACGTGTGTGTGTGTGTGTGTATCTGAGTGTGAGAGTTTATACTATATGTACATATACACGTTATATTATACTTATATTCTCTCCCTCCGTTTGTCTCTACAGGTGAAGATAAATCAGCTGATGAAGTCTGATGAAAGAGGAGATCAAAACTCACGAGTCAAAATGTTTGAAACAAATCTTTACTCCAGAAGGATTTAACATTAATAAAATCATCATCTTCTGCTCGTCTCACTTTTATTTGCCGTTGTACTGTTCTGGTATCTGGTATCTGGTATACCAGAACAGTACAAAAATAAATGGTATAAATATTCTGGTTTCGGTGATCGACTCTTCTGCCTTCTGACGTAGGACGATTATCTGATCGATTATCTGAAGACATCTAGTTCAAACTAACGAGACGGGTTGATCAGCCCGATGTCAATCATCTCGTTAATGTGAGCTGGATAATGGAACATTTCATCGACTTAGTTGAACCACGTACGAGGAACAGGGCCCTGAATTCAGACATATTAAAATGTATACAATGAGGACAGTATGGATTAAAGATGGAGGAAGAAATCATGAATTCAGTCATATTACTAATTAAATGGTCTTTAAAAGGTTTTTGTCATTACAGCTATTTTGACAGAAAACAGTAAAAACATGATTTAAAATGACCTCATCTTGAGGAAAGAGCCCGATCACAGAGAGGTCTGGAGCAGACGTTCAAATTAGTAAAAAGTATGAAATAAACCCTCGATTGTAAATCATATTTTAGACGTTGCCACGGTGACATTAAAGTGCTTTACAGTCACTCAGTCTGACCAGGTGACGTCGGAGTGGATGAGAGCAGAATGGAGCTTCGTGGTGCGTTCAAGTGCACCTCAGAAACATTACATTACACTAAAAGGCTGTGCACACTTCTTCTACGGTAAAACAAATACAGAGGAGGCACCAAGCGATAACACGCTTCCAGACACAAATTGAGGACGGTGTCGTCTCAGCCGCACACGTAACACAATCCTGTGGGAGGCTTCTCTCCCATCACATGACATCACATTACATCACATCACATGTCATTTATCAGACGCTTTTATCCAAAGCGACTTACAAGAACATTTTAACCATAAGGACACAAACTCAGAAGAACAAGAAACAAGAACGTGTGATTTCCTCAAATAAGCCGATGTACAACTCACTGTAGATAAGAACCATTATAAGTCCAATGTGAGTGCTGCAGTTAGTTGGTGTGTTAGTGGAGGTAGAGTCTGAAGAGGTGTGTCTTTAGTCTGAAGATGTGAGGCTCTCTGTGGTCCTGATGTCTTCACAGACCTCCTTCCACCATTTAGGAGCAGGACAGCAAAGAGTGGAGATCTAGTCGAAACAAAGTAAAGGAATCTACTGAATCCTTTTAGTGAAACTACTCAGTGTAATAGTGTGTTAGTACACATTAAACTATTTAAAGTTAGCTTAAGGACAATAATCAGTGTGATCCTTCAGAAGCACGACGACCCGCCGAGGATCCGCCAGCTGCTCTGTGGCGGTTCTGGTTCTTCTTACTTCCTGTTTGATGTGAACAAATAAAATGTGAAACTGGGTAGTTTGTTCTGTCGTTTTTTTTTCTAATTGCTGTATCATGAAAACGAATTGAACTTCAGCGAGTTGTCTTCACGTCCACACGCCTACAGGCAGCGACTTGCTGCCGTGTGACGTGTTGACGAACAGTTGAACGTAATAAGCATGTATGTACATTTTCTCATTCAATTGAAGAGCTCGTACTGTAAATACACATTTACTTCTTGATTTGGTTCAACATCAGTGATGAATTAAAGTCAACATGATTATGAATATATAATCCAATTATATATTTTATTTTAGTCTAATTTATCAATTCTTCAAACTCTTGAATTCAGAAGGAAAATGAATTCCAGCAACAATAACAAAATGATCAAAAACTTGCTTTTTATTTTCCTCAATTTTGACAGTAAAATTGAAAAGCAAATACATGAAATAAAATAAAACTTGTAAAAAGAAAAGAATTTCTGATACAGAAAAAAGTGTGTTTATTTTACGGAATTAGGACACAATTGAGCCTTAAAAATGGAACAAAAACCTGGAATATTCTGATATGATTTACAAGTTATTCAAAAGTACGTTTAGAGTTGTGCGGCTTAAAAATATCTGAAATGAGAAGTTTGTAAACTGTAAATAAGATTTCTGCTGACATTTATTATTAGAAACTTAATGATCAGTGAGTGATAAAAATCATTCCTAAAAATAAATATGTACGAGACTGAAACGTTTTATTAATGAAAAAGCTCAAAATAAAAAAGTGAATAAATTAGCGAAAATAGTGCTGAAATTAAACAAACACTAAATTGCAGACGCCGCATAACTGAAATATTTGAGACTTTGTCTTGTTAAAGACGTATGGAGTCCCTCAGGGCTCAACATGAGGCCCATTGATCTTATGTTTAATGTCAACAATTATTAAAAGAAAATCAAACCTAAAAGTTCTTGAATAACAAATTATTTTTTCAAATTTTTAAAAATAACAATGCATTTAACGGGATTTTTTGTATATAAATTGTTTTTCTGCAGATTTAAATATTTTTATTAAATCCAAAAATATATTAACTTGAGACAAGGTTTCATTCATCAAGATCCTGTTAAAGATAAAAGTCATTCACAAAGCAACAAAATGCACAAATGAATGATACAAAGAAACATCTGGAGATGAATATTTGTCTGCAATAAATCCCCCAAAAAAGAAAATTTCTCTGGAATAGTTAGAAAAGCTTGAAACATTTACATACAGATAAAACCTTGGATTTGAAAATAAAAGCGTAGTAGTGTAGAAACGTTGAAATACTTGGGACCGTCCGCCTCCTGGACCACGAGTCCAGAAGAACGGAGAGGAACAGCCGGGATGCAGATGTTTGAACATCTCTGATGCTGAAGCAAACGCGTTTATTTAAAAGAAAAAAAAGAATTAAAGAATCAACCGTCCACGCGGCAAAATGAAACAAAGCCACGATAAATCGGAAGAAATTGGACCTCGAGTTGGGGGGGGGGGTCAAAGGTGGACCTCCGACTTTGGAGGCTTAGGTAACCGTAGCGACGCACACGCAGGTCAACGGTGTTCATGAGGGACCTGTGGTGTTCAGTTTGTATAAAAAACATTTTTCCTCATCATCTTCTTCCTCCTCTCTTGAGATTGCTAGCGAATCTTTTTGTAAACAAACATGTCGTCATGTTATTCTCAAGGTCATTGATTATTAATAATATGATACACGCGGGATTGTCCACCAACACTCTGATGAGGTGGGAACATTTACTTTCCGAACTTTCTTTCAGTCCCTGAATGCCTCTCACCTGTCTGATCAAACTTCCTCGTCTTTGAGGAGGACAAAAGAAAGGGGTGTTTTTCTTAAAACAGGAAGTTAAAGCTCCACGTGAAGACCTTCACCGTTTCTCCTCACAACTCCTCCCTGCCGAGCTGGACCCAGAGGGACCGGCGGGTCAGCGCCTCGGCTGGCTGTAGACGGGGAAGGCCAGCGTGACGTTGAGCGAGTCGTTGTGCTGGACCAGCGAGGTGTGCTGGTAGTGGAGGACCAGCTCCTTCAGGGAACCGTACAGGTTGTACGGCTCGGCGAAACCGAAGCCGGTGCTCGTCTTGTTGATGACGCAGTGCTTCACCTCACCGTCCACGCTGAGGAAGGGAAGGAGATCATGTGAGAGGGCCCACGGATTCTATTAGTGATACAAGGAGTCAGATAAAAGGTAAACGAACAGGTGCGCCGGTGAGACTTACACCACGGAGCAGGCGTAGCAGCCCGGCTTGCTGCTGTCTCGGACCAGGAAGCTTCCGTCTCTCTTCCCGCGCAGCAGAGACTCCGCCTGAAGCCGGGTTGATGTTCCCCAAACGCCACAGACGCTCGTCGTGGTGAGGAAGGTCCTCCTCATCTTCACCATGCTGTACTCGCTGGGGGAGGGGAGGGGGGGAGCAGGTCAGCGGGCCCACAGTACGCGAGCAATGATACCCAAGGACCGTGGTTATTGTTCCTTCCAGTCATTTAGCAGACGCTTTTATCCAAGCGACTTTCATTACACTTTAACCCATGCTTTTTCACATTTTCGCCTGGGGAGCAATTGGGGTTAGGTGTCTTGCTCAGGGACACTTCGACAGGAACATGGGCAGCCTGGATTGGACCTACAACCTGGAATTGGACCTACAACCTTTGGCTCCCCAGACACCTTCTCTAACCCTGCGCACAACGACCCCATTGTCTAGATGAGGTGGTCAACCTCACAGGTAAGGGTCCACACACGGCTGCTTCAACCTCAAGTGGACACGCTCGTCCGACTGAACGTTAGCGCCACGCGTCCGACTAACGATAGCGCCACGCGTCCGACTCTAAAGTTAACGCACGCGTCCGACTCTAACGTTAGCGCACGCGTCCGACTAACGTTAGCGCCACGCGTCCGACTAACGTTAGCGCCACGCGTCCGACTAACGTTAGCGCCACGCGTCCGACTAACGTTAGCGCCACGCGTCTGACTAACGTTAGCGCCACGCGTCCGACTAACGTTAGCCCACGCGTCTGACTGCAACGTTCATGAAGTAGCTTATTTAGTGTTTTTTACCTGACCAATCTTTGGTAAAAAATAAACTTAACGTAATCCTCACATCTCCCATCATCCTCGCTGGTTATTTGCTGCCTAATCAACCGGTTGGACACACATTCGTGGACTTACTCCTCTACGGTTTCGTTCTTCAGGCCGAGCCACTCGTTCAGCTTCCTCTGACGGACGCCCTTCTGAGTCAGCCACCTGAGTACACAAGAGTACACGAGAGTACACATCCGTTAGTACAAGCACCGGGTCGCAGCAGCGCACATGCTCTCTGTGATCGGCTCTCACATGAGGTACTGGTCCCTGGTCTTGCGGAGCTGAATCAGGTCCGGCTTGATGCTGTTCATCTTCTTGTCGATCTCCCTGTAGTCGGCCGCCTGTTTCTTCAGGTCCACCTCCAGGTGCCGCTTGCTGTCCACGATCTCACTGATCCGAGACTTCAGCTTGTCGTAGTTCTCAATGATCCTTCACACACAATATTAAATCACTTTATGGGTTTTTCTATCAGATACAATCTATTTTGTTTGTAGAGGACCAGGTTCAAATGTACAGGAGGCTGCAACAAAACGGCACTGAAGATAAACTTTTAATAAATACATTTAAACATGTAAATATAACACCTGTCATGGTTAAGACATAGGACTTTAAAGACATGTTATGGACTTGATCTTTCCAAAACCAACTGTTTAGGTGTCAATGGGTTAAAGCAACATTAACATTTGTATGATCAGTATCATACAAACTTCTCTCACAACTTCAAATAGAAGAACATGGACCTCGAGGCACAAAAAGGAGGCGAAAAGGAAGAACTTGAGAAGTCCATCGGTGCATCACTACAAACCAGATCAATGAAACATGTTGAGCTGCTTCCCTTGGTCTTAAAATACTGGACTACGAACCATAAATCTACAAGCAGGTGGTTTCTTCCTGCAGACTCTGGTGCCATGGCAACAAGGGCTCCTCCTCCTCGTGTGTGTTAAAAAGGTCTCCCCAGAGTTACCGTGGCAACAGCCCTACCTCTGGATCTCCTTGTCGTTGCCCTCTCGCCGAAACTTCTCGATGTACTCTTTGCTGAAGCGCTCCTGAGTCTGACACTGCTCCTCGAAGATCTTTATGGTCTCATTGAAGGCCTCAATGGCCGTCCTCTTCATCTGGATTTCCTGCAGGAGGAGACGAGGAGACGAGGAAGGAGAGGAGAGTGTCATGTATTGAATCATAGTCAGGGTTCATACACATTTTGACCAATGGATTTGCATCAAACTAAATTTCCATGACCAAATATTTTGTGAAATCTGGGTGTAAAAAAGTGAAGAGAATTCCAAAAGGTCGACAGTGTTTCCGCTACATTGAATTAACCCCCAAGAAAGTGTGTTTTTTCAGGTTTACAGTAAAGCCTAGTTTATGCTTCTGCGTTTTCAGAGACAGGTCGTTATTAAAAGGAAGAATGAGAGAACGGATCAGATTGAAGAGCTTTTAAATATGAGCGCTTGTACAAGCCGTCATTGGCGGACTATGAGGACGCCGGATGGCCTCTGATTCATGGAGGGAGATCTCCACAAACGAGGGGGACAAAGTCGTGGAGGAAAATACGGGACAAATGTGTCCTTGATGAAAAGCAGCAGTGTGGATGCACGGGGCAATAAAGTCTATGATCAATAAATAAAGCAACCAGCGACTTCCACACACAAAGACGTGACTCTCCAGGTCGTCTTCAACAGAACACGTGACTCCACCTGTTGTTCTGGAGGTGAATCGCTCTGCAACACACGCAGGACTTTACAACCAGGAAGTGAAACGACGTAAAGACGCAGCCTTTATTCACTATGGATGAATATCGTTTCCTGCTAAAACAGAACGTTTTTCTTATTTATTTTTTTACTTCAAATTATGGACAACATGTTAATTGTTAACAGTTTACGTAGAGATTCTCTGTACGAGCTGCAACTAAAGATCTGTAACATACTGAAGGCCTTTATGTTGGATCGGTGCTCCTTGTGTGTATTGACGTCATGATCGTTTATCTACCGCGCGACAGGATTTATTAATTGTATATTAAGTTGACGCTTTGCTGCGTAAAATAAAGACGAAACAAAAACGTGTCTTAAATTAACCACATGACAATATAAACATAACTAATTCCAGGACTTTTCCAGCTTTTTCCTGAGCGTAGCAACCCTGCGTAGTACATAGTACATAGTAGTATTTAACCGTAGGGGGTCTTATTGCATAGTACTGTCCTACAGCGTAGACGTACCTGTGAGGTTCTCGTGTACTCCTCGTACAGCCGGTCGTACTCTCGATTCTTCTCCTGGAACTGCAGGTGATACTCGTGGAGCTTCTTCCCCACAGCTTCGATACTGTCCTCCTTCACAACCTGGTCCTGAACAACAACAACAACAACAACAACGTGTCCAACCAGAGGCCTGCTGAGCAGAAGCACCAGCTGTCCACGAGTCCCGGCGCCGTACAGACCTGCTGGTGTTTGGAGACCGGGTACAGCAGCTTGACGTCCAGCTTGGGGTTGTACTGGGCCAGGGACTCGTGTCGGTAATGGTTGATCAGCTCCACCACCGAGCTGAAGGTCAACGGGTCGGAGAAGCCGTATTTCCCCTCCCGGTGAAAGATCTTGATCAGCTTGTTGTTGCCTCCTTTCCTGAATGCGGTCAGAGGACGACGTGACGCACGAGTCGAGTGAGTTAAAGCGCCTTAAGGCACCAGATGGGCTGAGCGCCGTACAGACGAATAAATACACGGATATCAACGCCGTTTCACCTGAGAGTCAGAGTGTAATCGCCGTGCATCTTAGTGGAAGCGTCTCGGACCAGGAACGTACCGTCAGCCGTGTCCCTCAGCTTCTCATTCACTTCCTCTCTGCAGACAGAGGACACACACACACACACACACACACACACACAATCAACACCCAGCTGGAAGAACACCCTGTGTGTAGTACTACTACACTGAGTTGTTCTTACAGTGTAGTACTACTACACCGTTGCAAAATCAGCGGTTGTCCCGGACGTGTCTATTACCTGGAGATGTCTCCCCAGTACCACTCGGCGTCCTGCAGGGAGATGCTGTTGTTGAAGCTGCAGGAAGCAGCTGGAGATGAAGACTTGATCGGTTTAGGAGGCAAAGCTGCAACGACAGGTTACAAAACCAAAGGTTTCAGTGCGCCCGACTTTTACCCAGAATTCCCTTCTTAGGACATCTTCAGAGAGGACAACGGTTTAAAGTGTAATGTAAGTCGCTAAATGACCTGTAATGTAATGTAGTAATTTGAACACGAACACGTGGACTCTGAGGCAGACCACCAGGTGTTGCCCCCCCCCCCCTACCTGGACTCTGCATGCTAATGTAGCAGAGGATCCGGTCCCGTCCCCTCGGCGGCTCGCCCCCCCGCCCCTCCTCTTGCTCCATGCCGGCCCCGCTACACCCTTCAGAGCCTCACGGGGGACAGACCAGACCCGGGTCCTCGTAATCCGGATCTCATGGCGTCCTCGCTGATCCCGCCTCCAAAAACCCGGACGTCACCTGGGAGCGAAGCGGCTGTGTGCGTTTTCTGGCTTTTCTTTTTTTTTTTTTCTCTCCTCGACTCACTAATTCAGAGCGAGATCTGCAGGATCGGCTTCACTGCTCCGCCTTCCTTCAGACTCCACCCGGGATCCTCAGACGTCTGCTGGACACAACTTAAAGTCTCCGTCCGTCTGCCTCCGAGCCGCGGTTCAAAGCTCAGGAGAGCAGCTTGGAGATGTGTGACATCACCGCCGGCCCCCAGCCAATCCGGCGACGGCAGTGATATCACCGAGGCAACACCCCCCCTCTGCTCTGCTGCATCCTTCGCTGTGTGGACGATGATGTCATCGCTTCAGCTGCCGCTCAGATGAATTAACGGCACAAAGAGCAAAGGACTCATTCACAGAAACCACCTGACCATCACCACTTAAGTATTACTTATTTAATCCATCACGTGTGAACGAGTCTGCAGCAATGCAATTACTTCATTGAAGTACTAATACCACATTGTAGAAATGATCCGTGGTGGTGCAAGTCCTGCAGTATGAAAGCATTAAAGCTCACTAATTATGCGTAATAATATATATTATTCATGCATTAATCACTTTAAAAGGTGGAGGTCATTTTAAATCAATTATATTTCATTTTAAAATCAAAGATTATTTCAGTACGAGTGAAATATTTATGTAACAGAAGTACTCAAGTGCCTGAGTACTTGATGAAGTTAATGTACTTACATTGCAGTTCACTTCACATTCTGCTGAAGCCAAAGCTTCATGTTTTAAAGCTGCATTCTCTGCAGTGACCAGCAGGGGGCGACTCCTCTGCTCCCATAGACGTCTATGAGGAAATGACTCTACTTCTCTGCAGTGACCAGCAGGGGGCGACTCCTCTGCTCCCATAGACGTCTATGAGGAAATGACTCTACTTCTCTGCAGTGACCAGCAGGGGGCGACTCCTCTGCTCCCATAGACGTCTATGAGGAAATGACTCTACTTCTCTGTAGTGACCAGCAGGGGGCGACTCCTCTGCTCCCATAGACGTCTATGAGGAAATGACTCTACTTCTCTGCAGTGACCAGCAGGGGGCGACTCCTCTGCTCCCATAGACGTCTATGAGGAAATGACTCTACTTCTCTGTAGTGACCAGCAGGGGGCGACTCCTCTGCTCCCATAGACGTCTATGAGGAAATGACTCTACTTCTCTGTAGTGACCAGCAGGGGGCGACTCCTCTGCTCCCATAGACGTCTATGAGGAAATGACTCCACTTCTCTGTAGTGACCAGCAGGGGGCGACTCCTCTGCTCCCATAGACGTCTATGAGGAAATGACTCTACTTCTCTGTAGTGACCAGCAGGGGGCGACTCCTCTGCTCCCATAGACGTCTATGAGGAAATGACTCTACTTCTCTGTAGTGACCAGCAGGGGGCGACTCCTCTGCTCCCATAGACGTCTATGAGGAAATTACTCTACTTCTCTCTGGATTTATTCTCTCAGTAAACATTGTAAACATGAGTTTATGTCTCAGTCTCTAGTTTCAAGTCTTCTTCAACACAACATGATGTTCATCTAGTAAATTATGGTCCATTTAGAGTCAAACAGACCATAAAGCAGGGGATGTTTTAGGGCGGGGCTACACGCTGATTGACAGGTGTCCAATAGACCTGGGATTCTGGCTGAAGCAGACGGCGAAAATTGGCTTGACTTCTGGTGTGAACGCAGCACAACTCGCCAACGAAGCCGGCAAAATGACAGCGTGAGATGGAAAGCAGATGTCCAACGCTGATGGGAAAGCCGGTGGAAGAAAACTGGGCTACAGATGCAGAAGAAGTCCGTCATCTCGCTGACAGGCAGCAATGACAGAAACCTTCACCATCACGTGGTGTCATGTGAAGAGGAACTGATTCACTGCTGAAGCATTAAACTAATTCATTCTCAGATTATAAGGCTACATTTTAATTTGTATTAACTTTATTTAAATTGTATATACAGTGGGGCTACACGCTGATTGACAGGTCTCAATAGACCATAAAGCAGGAGATGCTTTAGGGCGGGGTTACGCGCTGATTGACAGGTCTCTAAATAGACCCTAAAGCAGGAGATGCTTTAGGGCGGGGTTACGCGCTGATTGACAGGTCTCTAAATAGACCCTAAAGCAGGAGATGCTTTAGGGCGGGGTTACACGTCGTATGTGATGTATACGGCGTCTCGACTCCCTCCTCACTCCATATATGGTCACTTCCTGTTCACTAAAATTCAGAACCACAAACCGACGACGGTCGTCACCATGACAACGTCCACGTACTTTGCGTTGCACTAAAATGTTGCATTCCTCACATTCAGGAGCAGAAGCCTGAGTTTATATTAAACGTATTCTGGGTACGTTTACTTCTCTGATCTCCTCTGGAGGAACCGTCGTAGTGTCAAAGTGATCACACGCACACACACACACACCTGGTGCTGCCTGGACCATGTTGAGCTCGCTGGTGATCAGAACCTCCAGGACCTGGACCAGAGGATCCAGACTGGGCTCGAACCTGAGGAGGAACAGAGAAGAACCTTCAGATGTTACTAAGAAGTAACTTGAGATAATAAATAGTTTCATTCATTGTTAGAACTTCAATCTGCAGAACCAAACTCTGAAAAGTGTTTTCATAGTAGATATGAACCATCTCCAATGACCCGTTGGTTTGAGGAGGTTCTGGTTCTACACGATCACGATGTCGTTACTGACCCTGCAGGAGGTCTGAAGAGAAATGGGCTGAAGGTCTCCGCCAGGCTCCGGGGGCTCAGCTGGGTTCTGGACCCGTACAGGCAGAGGCGGGCCAGGTGGCGGACCACGCTGAGCAGCGTCAGACCGTACTGGGCGGGGAAACTGGGCGAACTGGCCACGCTCCTCAGCAGCTGGGCACATTCCTCCAGGTCACGGACCTCTGGAGAGGCAGAAGAAGAACCGTGTTGGTGGGGAAACAGGGAGGAGAAAGAACTAGAATGAGAAGGAGGAAGAAAGGAAGAGGAGGAGAAGCGGGAGGCGAGGGGGGGGTCAGAGTGTCACCTTGCACCGCGTGGATCATGTCGGTCTGCAGCGAGCTCGGCAGGACGGGACCCGGCAGATCCTGCAGGAACCGGATCACTCCGTCACACAGGGACGACACCTCCAGCTGCTCCAGGTCTGAAAACAAACGCACACCCACGTATTCTAAGAACCTGCACTCCATCGTCATTGTTTATTATTTCTCCTCACTCAACTACTTCCTGTCTGCTTCTCCACTCTGAAGTACTCCTCAGCGTACCAGGAGAACACCAAGTACGCACAAAAGTACCACAATGTTCTACTACAAGCAGCTTGCTCACCTGCGTCGGCCAGCTCTCTGGTGTCCAGTCCTCCTCCAGTCACACCGCGATACACATCGAGGTTCTCCAGACCTTCAGCAGAGGCACCAGGGACACGGAGAGGTGTTGATGTCCAGAGAAGAACAACCTACTTCGTATGTACGTTGTTCTGATGGGGGTGTGTGTGTGTGTGTGTGTGTGTGTGTGTGTGTGTGGTGTGTGTGTGTGCGGTACCTTTGGCCTCGATGGCCTCCATCAGTCGGGTGAGGAGGGGCGGAGCCGAGTCCGGAGGTGCAAACTGCTCGGGAAGGTCCGGCATCGTGAATCCTAACAACAAACAACAAACAGTTACTTCCTGTCAAACTAAAGTTCTGACGGTTCATCACGTCAGATTGACGTTAACAGGTCTGTAATATTCTCAGGAGAACATCAGGAGAACATCAGGAGAACATGTTTATGAGCCAGAAGTATTAGTTCAGCCGACCAAAATTATTAATATTTTTAATTGCACACTTTTATTTTGAAAGAGAAACCACGCGTGTGACAGGAAACAGACTGAGGTTGAAGAAGAATAAAGTTTATGTCTTCTACATATTTATATCGATGCTTCGGTTCTCACCCTCCGACTCAGAGTCCATCCTCACGGACGCCGCGGACCCCGGCCTTTGGGGGCGGGGCTTGGGTGTGGGCGGGGACATCCTCTTTCGACCAATGAACTCCACGTAGGTCCCCGGGAAGTCGCCTTTCTCCTGTTGCCCAGAGACGCAGCGAGTTGAAGAGAGTCCACGATGCACAGAACAACAACAACAGCAGCATCGCTGAAGACGGCGGTTTATTTTAAGCAACGACGCGTTAAGAACTCATCTCCTAAAATTAAAAATGAAATAGTGTAAATCAATCTGTGAAGCCGCTCCAGTTGATGAAATATCACTATCTGAGCCGTCTAACGGCGTGATGCCTTCAAGCACTGCTGTTTTGTGGCGGCCCTGAGGGTCAAAGGTTAAAGCGTCTCGGGGTTACCTGCGTGGTCTCGTTGACCCCCGGCAGCCAGCCGATCTCGGAGGGCCGCTCCTCGGCCCCCCCGACGCAGCCGAGGGCGAGTAGCGCCCCCCTGCTGACCAGCAGCATGTCCCCCACCCGCAGGTCGATGTCCTCCTCGCGCTCCTTCTTGTAGTCGTACAGCGCTCGGTACTGGAAGCCCTCCGAGCTCATGGCGCTTACAAAAAGGTCACGAATAAAAAAAAAAAAGAAGCTCCGAGTAGAAAAATACCAGCGTGGGCTTTTATCCTGAGGTCTCCATGCGCGCCAACGTCCCGTCACGCCTGCAGGCCGCAGCCGTCAGAGCGTCCCGCCGCACATCAACAGCAGCCTGAGCAGAGGCCACATCTGCAGAGGCGACGACTCCACCTGAGAGGAGGGGAAAGGTCAACGGGAGGACAGAAATAATCAGTGGATCGATACAGACGACCAAGCAGAGACCTGTGAGGATCTTTTTAAAATACTGTCCAAAACTCTGAGCGTTTAGAAATATATATATAAGTAACTATTTAATACTTTTCTTTTCTATTCTTGAATTTAACAGAATGTAAACAGTCAATAATATTGCTAATTAGTTAATATAGATTTTAAATTCCATACGTTACGTTGAGTTTTTTTCTCTTGTGATGAAAGACAAATAAGGAACCCGAACATTACAAAGACAGATGATTCATCCATTAGTCGCTCAACAGGAAACTAATCAGCATTTCTAAACCTACAACTGGCTGAATCCTCTCATTTTAAAGTTATGTGTGAAAATGACAAAAGTTTTTAAACTGTAATTTTTAGGTTGACTAAAGTAACGGGTATAAATATATTCATATTTTAGTTGCCTTTTATAAAAAAAAAGAGAAATATCTCATTTGAACCAGACACATTTATTGTTGGCACGTTAAATAAGTAATAATCGCAGTGACACAAATTAATGTGCAGTTTCAGCCGAGAAGAGTCCAACAGTCTAAAATGTAACATTTTTAAATATAATTATTTTACAGGTAGAAAGCTGGAAAACGTGTTTTTTAAAGGGGCTTTCGTTGAATAGGAAAGATTTCAATCACGAACAGTAAACGTGATTAAGGAATGTAAGACCACATAAATAAAGCCGAACACATGAAAATAACGCGTTTAATATAAGACACAATCTAGTTTATTTCGTAATATACGTATTTTACTCGTGTGAGTTTATATTCACACAAACACGCTGATTTTAAAGGGGCTGCCGCCGGAAGTAAGAACGGAGGTTGTAAATTCAAGGATACGTTAGAAAGCGCGTTAGTATTTAAACGTAGTACAGTACGAACGCATTTAACATGTCATCATTTAGCATTTATTTAACTCATTTAAAACGTGTGTCATAAAAGCAACAAAACAATGCCTCTCTCCAGGAAACCGGAAACGACAACACATGCCAGTGTTAGCTTAGCATGCTAGCTTAGTTGTCAGTCGCTCCAAAACGTCTCACCTTTCTTTTGAGTTTTTCACCGATTAAAACGTCCGGCGGCGCAAACAGCGGCCGGCATCGTGGAGCAGAGAGACCCTCCGCGCCCACAGGCCCCTGGAACCGGAATATGACGAGACTTGATCGATTAGTCACAAAAGAAGAGAACTCGTGCTTCAGCCGTCTGGACGTTAGCGCGTAGACGAGCGTCAAGTCAGCGTCAATATTTGAACCACTTCCGGTACGGAGTTTCAGTATTAAAACGCAAAATACGCTAAAGTAAAAGTTTAAGAGTACATATCTGATATGTTAAAATTCACTTTCAAATTGTAATCATTTTCTATTAGCCGGAATCGATTATATGAGCTCTTTAACCAGGTAGAATGTCTTGCATAAGTGTAGCAAGAATTGACAAGGTCTTTCAGTGGCTTTCAAAATAAAAGGCTTCCGCGTTTAACCGCATTAGCGACGAAGCAACGCCGCTTATCAAAGAACGTTGTTTGCAAAACTCAAGAATATTTCCAGTTTTTCTGAACAACATCTTTTAACTTCGCATAAAAACACCACAAACAGGAATTTAAGAGATTACAGCAGGAAAAGGGGATGTGTGTCACTGACGTCACATCCGGTGACCTAGATTTGAATGCAGTGCGCCCGACAAAAGAGTTTGTGGGGGTGTACAGTGTTCACCCTGTCCTCATTTACTGAGCTCTTTTAAAAGCAGCCTCCTCAAAGCGTGTGTGTGACTCCCGTACCATGTGACTGCTGCTTTTCCATCACTACCAAAGCTCATTAAAAACAGACCTTTATTTACATCAGACAGCAGCGAGAAAACATACAATCAATAAGATCGCCTCTCAAATTCATAAATGTACAAAAAACAGATCTCCCCTCTGATCTTTTCATTCCTGAATTATTTCTGCAATATAAGAATGGAGTTCTGCACTCGGAGAACGAGCACGCTCTGCACTAGTCGAGAGAGAAAGAATGTAAATATAGTAAAATGTCCCATTGTGTGTTGAGTTCTCATGTGCAGGTCAGCGTTGGCACATTAAACACCGTGTGGACCAGCGGAGGCTCGTCTACACGCTGAAGACGTTTCCCCGACTGTGAACAGACAGTTCGATTCTCCCCAACAGCTGCAGCTGCTCCTTCAGGAAGCGGCCCACCCTCTCCGATCGGACCACGTCGCAGAACACCCAGATCTCCGCCCGCTCCCGCCGGATGTTGGCGTTGCACGTCGACAGCCTGGAGCTCCGGACGTGTCGGTTCAGAGCCCGCCACACCTGCAGGGAGGAGGACGAGGAGACGGCAGACATGTTGAAGACAATTTTCTCAAGGAGACGCCGTATACGTGTATTAGAGGCGTGTCAATCAGCGTGTAGCCCCGCCCTAAAGCGTCCCCTGATGGTCTGTTTGACTCTAAATGGACCATAATTCACTAAATGAACATCATGCTGTATTGAAGAAGACTTGAAACTAGAGACTGAGACCATAAACTCATGTGTACAATGTTTACTGAGGGAATAAATCCAGAGAGAAGTAGGGTCATTTCCTCATAGACGTCTATGGGAGCAGAGGAGTCGCCCCCTGCTGGTCACTACAGAGAAGTGGAGTCATTTCCTCATAGACGTCTATGGGAGCAGAGGAGTCGCCCCCTGCTGGTCACTACAGAGAAGTAGAGTCATTTCCTCATCGACGTCTATGGGAGCAGAGGAGTCGCCCCCTGCTGGTCACTACAGAGAAGTAGAGTCATTTCCTCATAGACGTCTATGGGAGCAGAGGAGTCGCCCCCTGCTGGTCACTACAGAGAAGTAGAGTCATTTCCTCATAGACGTCTATAGGAGCAGAGGAGTCGCCCCCTGCTAGTCACTACAGAGAAGTAGAGTCATTTCTTCATAGACGTCTATGGGAGCAGAGCAGTCGCCCCCTGCTGGTCACTACCGAGAAGTAGAGTCATTTTCCTCATAGACGTCTATGGGAGCAGAGGAGTCGCCCCCTGCTGGTCACTTCACAGAAGGCAGCTTTGACACATGAAGATTTGTCTCCTGGAGGTCCCATCACCACTTACAGAGCTGATGCACGGCCGACCCGCCTACCTGCTCGATGTCTCCGCTCCCCCCGCAGTTGTGCCGGCCGATCACCCACTTGGCCCTCTGGTGGAGGTGGAGCTTGTAGGCGGCGACCACGCCACGGAACTCGTTGGACAGCGACTCTTCCTGCGGAACGCTGCTCTGTGTGAATACGCTCCACGAGCGTTTGAGCGGCGGCTGCGGGCCAGCGGGGCCGGCGTGGCGTCCCTCAGCAACGAGACTGTGACCCTCTGGCTCCCGGAGAGCGTTGGCATGCGTCCTGCCTCCGGAGGGGAGCCGGTGCGGTGGGCCGATGACGACGGGTGGCGGTTTGGCTGGTCTGATGGGCAGGTGGCGGTCGGCGGTGGCGGGGGACCACGGCGTGAAGACGGGAGGAGTCCTGTAGGGGAAGGACTCCAGGAGCCTCTCGGCCCGCTGCAGCAAACCGCCGAGCTCGGCAATCGATCCAGGCCGGTAGTGCAGAACCACATCCCCCATCCGGGTCACAGGACCGACCTCCTCTTCCTCCTCAGCGTCTTCCTCCGTTTCAGCAACAGAGAGCAAAGCATGATGGGAGCCTGTTGCAAGTCCAGCAGAACCCTGGTTACTCTCAAAGTTGCAGAACATTTAGTACGAAGGGCAAAAATGTTTAGATCTCTGATCTGTTTTATTTCTGTTGATACTAATTATTGATCATCAATGATCCATATTGACAGATACAAATCTCTTTATAGCAGCTGGTCTACAAGGACACACAATATTTATTTATGACATCGCCCTAAAAATCATTTCAACTGTCAGTATAAAAATAAAAAAAATCAGAAATACTAAATGTTATAGTTTTTACTGGTTTAGTAATTTATAGTGTTTTCTTTTTTTATAAAAAAACAATAAATTTAAATGCTCAGGAAACAAAGCGTTTTTATAATTGTCCACACTGTTTTTAATGCATATAATTGCGTGTTAGGAAGTTAAAAGATCATTAATATAATTTATATTCATGTGAAAACATCTGGAAATTATTAGTTTATAACTAAAGCTACATTTTTCAGATGACACGTGAACACACCATAACATAACGATCTCATTTTCACCGAGTATGGCCTGAACGTATCATGATGTAACTGAAGTGAACCTCCGTTGGTTAGCTTGTAGCTTTGCTGCTAACGCTATTAGCTCCTCTCCTAATGATCTAAACACTGAATTGTTGTTTACAACATCTATTGTATTGGCAATCTTAGGTTTGCTGCCCCTTTAGCTGGCTTCTTGTTGTTCTTTGCCATCAGGCACAGGTGGGAGTGATGTTTCGACGCAGACACACAAAAGATTTTCCAGTGATGATTGTAGTTGAGGTTTGTAATTTATTGCAGGCAATTGTATAAACAGATGAACATACCGGTTGAACGTGCTCCTATTGATGGTGGTCTGTCTTCGTGGTCTGGTGAGAACTGTCTGGTGCTCCCCTACCTGTGCCTCGCTTCCTGTCACCTACGTCCCTTATGTACACCCAGGTGCACTTAATCACCGCCACCTAGTGTCCAAAGTGTCAATATAAATACAGTGTAACAAACAAAATATACTTTGCCAACAACAACACATAATGGCTCCTACATCTATGGCTTACAATCCAACATTTAAAACTATAGACGTGAACATGAGAATTAACGGAGTGGAATAAACACCGGCAACTTAAAGTCAAAGATATCAGAGGTGACATCCACAAAAGGAAATATTATAATGTTTTTAGCTTATCACGCGAGCAGCCGACTGTTGGTCGCTGAACGAAGCTAACGAGCTAGCTAGAAAAACATGGTGGCGCCGGTTTCCTACAGGTAACCTTGGTAACAACTTTCCGTACAGTCCGACCACAGAAAACACGTACCTTCGAATCAGCTGCTAAAAACAGTCAAGAAGGAGTAAAGTTCTCCCTCATGAAGCTATGGCTAACACGGACATGTTAGGGGTGGGGGGGGGCTTCCGGGAAGTCTCGCGAGAGTTGCGCTGAAGCGATGGTCACGTTCCCTTCCTGCCCGTTTCCGTGGTTTTATATCCACATTTTAAGGTTAATCGGTTTATTTTTTTAAACATTTACTGTATTGTAAGGAAACATTAGCTAAAGTATCAGTGTTTATAGACGATGTTTTTGGTTAGTGGTGGAAAAAGTATTAAGATTCTACTTTAACCCATAAATAACATTAAAAAGGGTTAGTCTGAATAGCGATTTACTTTACGCTCGATCGGTATTACTCATGCAATAATGTTGCAGTGGTTCCTCTTATATAAATTGTACTCAAGATCATTGCTTCAGTAGTTTGTTCTTGATTTACAAAAATACATCTCTACAAAACAAACCAACATGAAACAAGTACATTTTTGCGAGAAGCTTGTTGAACTCATTTTAATCTGTTGGGATCCTCCAACAAGGTTTTGAAATGAGAAAGTGTCCTGGAGGGAAGCAGCACCGGGGCAGAAGAGACAGACGCGAGGCGTAGTTCGTCAATAGGACATTTTTATTTCATACGTCTGTTGTCTTTATTCAAATTACAGTAATATACTTGCTGAGATGACGAGCGGCTGCAGCCTGAGCGGCTCAAGCTCACAGCTCGACTACTTGAAGCAAGCTTTTGTTTTTACGCTTTTTTTTCTCTTTTTTTTGTTTAAAATTAATTCTTGCAACAGAAAAAAGCACATATGCCATGAAGAGGAAGAAGAAGAGTGTCGTGTCGGTGACATCGTTGTTGTCTGGGTTACAGTCTAACACAAAGAAAGGTAGCGCGCGTGGTACATGTTGTAAAGGATCAGAATATGGCACATTTGGTCCACGTTGGTAGTTTTATTATCGCATTTTCAAACATGTAATAAACAAAACAAAAAAAGAAAACGATCATAGTTGTTTTTCCCCAGAAGCACAGCGTTAATGACAGCGTATTGAAACAAGTCTATAGGGGGAGGGGTCATTAGGTTTCTCTCTTTTCATTAAAATCTTGGATCAGCCAATCGTTTGTTTCTATTCTCCCTGGTACAGTAATATTACTATTAATATCTTCTTCCATCCAAAATGAGAGGAGGGGGAAGGGGCGGAGCTTCGTGGATGGTCGACAGGGACGGCTTCGGACATTCACAGGAAGTAGTCGGGAGTGCGTCTGGTCACGTGGGGCTCGCCACGGCGGGGGGCGGGGTCAAACTGAAGGCTGAGAAGATGACATCACTCAGTTAAAACAATCCCCTCTGTCTCACTTCCATAAGTCACAGTTGAGGGATTTCTGTAGGACACCTTGTGTTAACATATAAATACATTAATATATGAAAAAGATTTTACCTTTCATGCTAATTAAATATTCAGCAGGGAAAAAAGTAAATCCTACTGAGCAATAAACACATTCCGTCCTGCGAATGATTCATCATGAAGTGAGTGAATATTCACACGTCCACCCGTGGAAGAAGAGGAGACTTACAAAGAGTATTTCAGAGTGTCGTCCAGTTCCATGATGGCCGCCTGGTTTCCACAGCGGTAGCAGTAGTTGGGAGCACTGAAGATGGTCACCACGTTCTTATCGTGGCCCCAGTTGTAGCCCTGAGGGAATAAGAACACGGGACAGATGTTGCCCAGATGTTATATCACACATTTAAATCCAACATTGTGAGGATAAAGGAGCGTATGACATTTGATTTAATAGAACTAGTGTTTGAAGACCCTTACAGCACCGTTCGATACCGTTGCCATAGAGACGATACATATTGGGGCGTTGAAGTATAATTCAGTGCACACGTGTGTGTGTGTGTGTGTGTGTGTGTGTGTGTGTGTGTGTGTGTGTGTGTGTCACCTCCATGACCAGCTGATGGGCGCGGGACACCAGGGTGAGGCCGTTGGCGTGGTTGAAGGTTTCAGAGATGTCCTGTCCGAAGGTGTAGCCTGCGCCTCGGGGGGAGATGCCCCACCCACCGCGGTCATCAGGGTCGGACCACAGCAGGTCACACATGGGACCCTGAAACAGACCCAGGATCAGTACTACATTCTTCTCCTTCGGCCATTTGTTAAGGTTCTGAGGTCCGCTGGTGGGAACCAGGATGTCTAAATATTCACTTCATTTCCCATAATCCATCAGGAGCCTCAACTCTACTCCCCAAATACAAAACAACGTGTACCTCATGTGGGACTTCCTGCAGACGGTCCAGAGCTCGTATGTGATCCAGAGTGTCTATGGAGGGAGACAGACCTCCGTGGAGACAGAAGATCTGAAACAAAGACGAGAGGAAAAGCTCGATGAAGCTCCACGAAGTTCCATGAGGTCGTGCCGTGACATCGTCGCCGTGGTTACCTGTCCGTCCACCAGCGCGGTGAGGGGCAGGTAGTCAAACAGGTCGGTGAAGTACTTCCACACGTTGGCGTTGCCGTACTTCCTCAGGCACTCGTCGTAGAAGCCGTAGACCTGCGTGATCTGCCGCGACTCGTGGTTCCCCCTCAGGATGGTGATCCGCTCCTGGAAACGGACCTGAGCGCCACACGGGAGAGGTCATGTGCACACAGCTGTGGGGACGCACGTACGTACACACGCACGTTTCGTAATGCAGGAATACACACACATACACACACAAACACACACCTTTAGCGTGACCAGCAGCGTGACCGTCTCCACCGAGTAGTACCCTCGGTCCACGTAGTCGCCCATGAACAGGTAGTTGGTGTCAGGAGACTTCCCTCCGATCTTGAAGAGCTCCATGAGGTCGTGGAACTGACCGTGGACGTCGCCGCACACCGTCACCGGGCATCGAACCTGTGAGAAGAACACCGTCAGCTCAACGCGGCGAATCGGTCCTCACGGTTTCTGAATACAGACATTAAATCTGCACATCGCAGATATTAGCAGTAACGTGAAACATTTACACGCTCTACTTCGATGTATTAGCGCCATGAACATTAAGATTTATTTGCTCATAGATTATAAATCAGGACTCAAAATGTGTAAAACACATGAGTTTTATTGTTTACTGTCAGTTTGGAACAAACACTGAATCAAACCCCTGAAGGCAACACGATGCTCCTCTTAGTTAATTACTTCCTCGTTGGGGACGAACAAATAGGAAGTAAGAGAAGACCATAAAAACCCCAGATACACAACGAGCATCGTACACAACGTGTAGTATTGTCCGTGTTCCAAGCGGTTGCCATGGAGATCATAAAACCCATCTAACAGTGTCATAACATCCATTATGGAGACGAGTTCTCTTCATGACTTCAGAGTTCAAACATGGTTTGTTTCAGCTGACTGAGAAACAACACTCAGCTCTTCTACTGTGGTGATTTGGACCTCCGACTGATGGGGCAGAGCCGCATAGTTATTTAAACCTGTTTAATGCTGCATAATAAGGTCAAACACATTACAAGTCCTTTTTAATATCCATCTCATGTTCATGTGAAAACATCTGATGTGACACGTCACATGATCCGATTTATGAATATATAAATATAGATAAGACACGGGAAGGCATGTAGTTGAATGTCCTAATTTTCACTGAGCCGAGCCTGAACGCATCACTTAGCGTGATTCTTTGATTTCGGTGATAATTCCTTCAGTAGTAAACAAACCAACATCTTTACCCGATGATCAGGTTTCATTTGATGGTGATCGATCGAGCCGTTGTGCTTTTCCGCTTAGTTTTAATATCAACCGGCTCAAGTTTGTTCTGGTGCATCATGGGAAATCTCACCTCCTGAACGTTGGACTCCTTGGTCAGAATCTCCTTGGCCTGGAGGGGAAACAGACAAAGGTTATTGTTTGGTCGGTGCCCTTTAAGACATCTAGAGGACTCGGGTGGAGCTCCTCCAGTAATCCTGCTTCTTAATTACAATAAATAACGTGATCACATAAGCAGATGTGCGAGACATCAACAGACCTTTGAACACGAGATGCATTTAATTCAACTTGACAATTTTTTCTAAATTTGTTCTATAATCCTAAATGACTTCTCTTCTATAAATAATGTAAGAAAACAGTCAGTTGTGCCAAAATTGTTTAGTTTATAATCAGAAATCATCAAACGGAGGATGAATCAAATCTGGAACATGAGAGCACAATTAGCATATTTAATTACATTTGATCAACTGAACGATTAATCAACTAATGGTTACAACTTTAAAATAAACACTTCAAAAAGGCCATCATGATTATTATGTTTAAAGATTTAATTTATTAAAAGCAATAATTATTCGTAGTCCCGTTACATCCTTTGCTGCTTGAAAAGTTAAGTGACTTTACCACAATTTACAACGATCGATCTGATCGATCAACCAAACACACAAATATGCGTTTATTTATGATTCCACTGCTTAATCTCAACCAACGTAAGACGAGGACAGCCCGCGACGTTCATCTGACGGATCCACACCTTTTCTCCCGTATTTTACTGACGTTTAATCGGCGGCAAATCCATTAAAAACTGCTTTAACCCGACGTGACGTCAGACTCGGCAGGTTTACGTAATGGAACACTTGATCGATATAAACAAGGCGCGGATCGATCAATAACTTCTTTATATGTACCGATGAATACGCAGAGAATGTCACATGAAAGCATATTATACATCATCCGTCCAAACGTTGGTGTTGAGCTCGAACTTTAGGGCGTTCACGCAAAAGGAGCTCCGTCTATTCGCTGGTAATGCAGTCCAATTTTCGGGCCTGTTTAGAATCAGACGACGGGCTGCCGAATAACATCAGTTAATTGCACACATCGGGAATAATTCTCAATAAAACAGTCGAGATACTGTCGACTATGGGAATGATAAACTATATCAACATGAGTGGGGGAAAACGGGTGGAAATAGACGCATTGTCGTTAAGTTTATTCCGGGAATTAGTCGGAGCCGCTTCCAATCTAGGCCGCACTTAAAAAGAGGGCCGACCGGGCCGAAATAAAACATTAAAACCCGGGGGGTCGTTGCCAACTTACCTTCTCGCACAGCGTCCGGACCTGGTTCTCCGATAGCTGCTTACACTCGTTTAACTGTTCGATCCATTGGTCCAACTCTTTAGTAAAGGATTTGTCCTCCATGACAGCCGCGGCGGTGGCTAGCTGAGCTAGCTGTGTTAGCTCCCGTGAAAAAACAAACTGCGCCTGCGCCTAGAAGCTAGCTTTTTGTTAGCCGTTAGCTCGTCGTATTGTTCACCCGCCAAACCGGTCGGAATATCAACGATAAAACCTAAAACTCAACGAGCCGTTCGATGGATTTCTATCATGATAAATGACCGACGTCGAGTTACCAACACTAAAAAACAGATGATATCGGCCGGGGGGGAGTCGAAAGGGTCGATGTCCCCGATGCGACGGACCGGAGCTGTGAAAGACAGCGGCGTCGCAGCGGCTAGCCGAGGTGCTAAAGGGCTAGCTACCACAACATCCGGGCATTTCAGCAGCGCGCAGAGACCTCATCAGCGACACCGCGTGGACGAACGAGTTTATGAAGATAAACACACAAAACTGCCAATACTGTACACTTCATATGTAGGCTATTCGATTTTAAATCTATATTTCAGTCTATACACAAATCGTATCTTCTTTTTAAAGCTATCACATTTAGATTGGTTCCTGAATAATAAAAAGTCATACAAAATATATTGTGTTTGCAAAAGTAATTAATTTGTAGCATAAATTCCTCTAAAATACGAAAGAAACAGCAACATTCTAAAACTACTGTTTTAGAATCTAAAATCTGTTTTTCATTTAATGTGAGATTCAATTCAATTAATTTTATTTTGTACCGACCAAAATTACAAATTTTCCTATGAGGGGTTTACAGTCTGTATACATGTAACATTTGAGGAGGATCCGTCTCCTGATGGACAGACTACAATGATGTCACGTGTACAGAATGAACAAAGTAAAAGATGAACAACACATTCAGTTCATATGACAGAGATGATTAGAATAATTGTGATTAGTAAGCAGGTGTATGGCAGGACCACTGCAGGGACAACCACCATCAGATAGAACCACCGTCACATAGATCCTTCATCAGATAGAACCACCATCCACATGTTGGTTTATGACAGTAATATTAATGTGATTAATATTTAAAATGATGATGATGATGATGATGGCAGTAGCAGGTGTCAGCAGGGCCACAGTAGGAGGCAGGAACAGGGTCCAGATAGAACCATGATCCATAGAAACCTGTGAGGCGAGAAAGCACAAATACTCACTTGGATGGAAGTTAGTGACGTGCATTAATGTTAACAACAATAATGGGAATATCAATGGTGTTAGAGGCAGTAGGTGTCCACGGGGCCAGGCAGGAGTCAGGACCAGGGTCCAGACGGAACCACGATCTACGGAGACCTGTGAGGCAAAAAAGCACAAAAACAACTCTGGGACAGAAGCTGAATTAGTGATGTGCATTAATACAATGTGGCTTATTGTAGAAGGAGAGAGTGAGGGTGCGAGAGGAGCTCGGTGTGTCCTAAGAAGTCCCCCAGCAGCCTGTAGCAGCTTAACTCAGGGCCGGTCCGCTGCAGAGGAGCCGGCTGTTGGGTCAAGTGCTCAGTGTAAAGAATGGAATGCATAAATATGTCAAATATGCTGTGAAGATGAGAGCAAGTAGAACAGTCCATACTCAGGCCACACGGTTTACAGAGGCTTTTATTGTGGAGGGGAAACAACTCACAGGATCACAGAGCTTCTCATAACAACAAACAAAGCATCTCTCTCTTTTCCAAAGTAAGCAGCTCCTCAGTTAAGAATATAAACCAAATAAAGGCACAAATATACTTTTACATCAGAAAGTGTTTTAATCTGCACGGTGAAGCTGCTGTTCATTCAGAATATCGGAGCCGACTCCAGAGCTTTGACACGAGAGGCGAAGACCAGAACTCTTTTCTCCACCTCGGCGTTGATGTCGGCCTGCGAGGCTCTCGGGTTCTGACGGAGGAACTCGGAGATGTTCAGGATGCACTCGTTCTGAGGAGACAACAAGGACCGAGTGAGACAGGAAGTGAGATGTCAGTGTTTCCCTGCCATTATAACAGGGGGGAACCTACAGGGTTCACATAGAGGATCAGGACTACACTGAGCCTGGTTCGCATAGAGGATCAGGACTACACTGAGCCTGGTTCGCATAGAGGATCAGGACTACACTGAGCCTGGTTCGCATAGAGGATCAGGACTACACTGAGCCTGGTTCGCATAGAGGATCAGGACTACACTGAGCCTGGTTCGCATAGAGGATCAGGACTACACTGAGCCTGGTTCGCATAGAGGATCAGGACTACACTGAGCCTGGTTCACAGAGCGGATCAGGACTACACTGAGCAGGTACCTTGTAAGCGTCCACTTTGTCCTGTCCGGTGAAGCGGTTCAGCAGCTCTCGGCCAACTTGGACCCCAGTCACCGTCGCCAGGATCATCCGGTCTTCGTCAGTCTGAGAGGACAACCAGCGCAGCAGCGCCACCTGCAGGAGGGAGGGAGGCGATTAAGAGGATCAGTGTGACGCTGCAGCTGGATCGGAACATTTCTTCTTAGGAAGCTTCCTCAGTGAGTGAAGTGAAGTGTAGAAAGTAGTGGAAGTGGCGCCATGATGAGAGCTGTTCTATTCTCTAATCACGAGAAATAACGATCATGACGTAGCAACGCAGATCACGTGAGTCATAGATATACATACATCTATGACGTGAGTAACATTAGCGTGACTCATGCACTCAAGCTTTGCTTTGAACCTGGTTGTTTGTGTGTCTGCAGACTGACCAACATGCGTCTCCGTCCATCACAACTACGTAGCTCAGTGGAAGTGGAGTCGATCACACACACACACACATATATATATACAAATATATATGTGTTTGTGTGTGTGTGTGTGTGTGTGGAATCGTCCTCATCAACCCTCCTAAACATCTTTCCTTGAACCCGTGACCTTTACCACAAAGGTCAAGGAATAGTGGTTAGGAACAGACGTTAGGAGGTCATATTTTCGACAATTTGAAACCAGCCATGGATGTTTTAAACAGGAGTAAACCTCCTGTTCTTTGGATGCTTTAGGGCGGGGCTACACGCTGATTGACAGGTCTCTAACTGACCGTAAAGCGGGGAATGCTCCACTTAAACTTTTTAATGCTTCATATTTATCTGTTAACCTTAATTACTTACATTCACATAATTAACACAAAGTACTACAACCGCACTTGAAACGCAAATGAAGTAATTCAAATGAGTTTAAAGCATCAATGAGGTGTTTGGCTGCAGATCTTCAGGTAATCAAATTATATTCTGACTCCACCACGTTGGTACATTTGTGTGCTGAATAAATATAAATGTCACAAAAACAGATTTCTCACCTGCTGAAATATCTGAGCGTTCGTCATTTCCAAGCCCGACATGATGGAGAAAACGACGACCAAACACAAAATAACGACAATTATGATGAAATAAACCCTTTAGACGTTCCCCTGTGACCGATGACGGAAGCTAAATTCGCTATTTTCACCGTCATATACAAGAAATACAGATATTTCCTTATATTGCGGATAGAAAAGCGTCTCACTTCCTGTTTACATCACTTCTTCTTCGTTGGTTCCATTTGCGACTCGCTGCTGCCTTCACGTGGTCAAAGTATGAAGTGAAAGAATTCCTTTTAACAAAGTAATACTATTTATGCATCCGTCCATCTTCACAACGCTTATCCTGCTCACAGGGTCACTGTCTAAAATTAATTTAGACAGTTAAATAAATAGCATTCAATGTCTTTTAACTATTTTTATTCATTTAAATCATCTCATAATTACTCTCTTTTTGTAGTATTCATTTATCCTAACATTTGTTTATTTTTAACTTTTATTTGTTGCAGTAATTCTTCACACGTGATCATTTCAACTCCTTTACAAACTGTTGGATGGATTAATATATTTAATAAGTTCATCATATTATATCATATTGCATACATCGAATGGTAAAATCTTTGTTATTTGATAAACGCAGAGAAGTCAAATCTACAATATTTACCCCACAGATGTTGAAGTTCAAAGTAACTGAACCTGAAATACTTCACTGAAGTAAAATCACCAAGGACAGTAAATGTACCTTGTTACATACAATCATACAACATGAACTAAGGTGGGCAATAGAATAGTGAAATATGTGTAACTTGAATATGAGTTAACATGATGATAATTACTGAAGCATGAATCTTTTCACTGACTTTATTATTATCACTCGGGGTCAAAGGAAGATTAAATGTTCATGAGTCCAAACAGTCGGAAGACGTTTTACTTTTCTTACACAACATCCAAAACACGTCACGATTGATGACATCACCAGTTTCCTTTACACTTCAACGGCGGACTTTAACGCAGCATTTCGGCGTGAGGGGAGGCTCACGTGGATGCGGAGCGAGGTGCGGGCCAGAGAGGTCAGAGGTCAGCTCTTGTCCGCAGGTTTGGAGAAGGAGCCCAGCTGCTTGGTGTTGACGTCCCTCAGCTGCTCCAGCTGTCTCTGTCCTCGGCGGAACAGATACTCGATGTGCATCACGTCCGTCTTCTTGATGCCGGCGTTCTCACGGAACTCGTCGCGGATCCGCGGGACGAAGCCCGGTTTGTCCCGGCCGGCCCGCAGGAAGTGCCGGTACAGGACCAGGACCTGCTTCTGCAGCTTGCTGTGGCGCGCCATCGGACCGAGCCGTCCCGATCACAACGACGGGAAGCTAGAGGGCAAGTTCAGCACGTCAGAGGGGACCCTGAACGCACCACGGCGCTCCACTTCCTCTCCTCTTTGTGGAGGTTTTGGGCCTCGCTGTCCTGGGACAGGTGAGGGGTGAATGGCGAGCTGTGATTGGCTGAGAACTCGTCTGAGGTTTCCAGCTGTTGGAGCTGAGAGGAGGGAGAAGCTGCTGTTAGAATGTAGGATAAAACACACACAGGTGAGGTGACAAATACCTGTTATCCATCAATACATCCGTCCATCTGTCAACACATCCATGTAGTATCAGGATGTGGACGTCTGAGACAAACATGTAGGTGGAAAACTACTGCAGAAGTAGTAGCACTAGTACTATAAGATGATATTGGGGTAGTTGTGGGACAAAATGCAGGCGTAATATTAGTGTATGTATTGGTATTAAAACCGTAAAAGTAGTAGTAGTAGATATGGGGGTAGAAGTTGTGGGACAAACTGTATTAAAATAGTACTATAACATTTAAAGTATCACCAATAACAGTATTAGCATGAGATAGCAGACTGTTTTTAAAAGGAGTTAATAAATGTAAACCCGCTAAAACATGAAGACAGACGTGACGTCACTAGATAAAGCAGTAACGGAAGTAAACCAGTTAGCCTCGCTTAGCTTGTCTCTTACCTCATTCAGGAGTTAAACTGGTTAATATAACCCGCATTTCATTGCTAGCCGTTAGCCGTTGGCAGCTGTGTGACCTTACTACGAGTTATAACATCACAGTGACCAACTTCCGGTGAGGGATTTCACAACAAGATACTAATTTATTAACACGGAACATTTCAACGGCTTTTTAATATTATTTATAGTTTTTTAACTCACTGCATTAAAACGTCAAGTAAGAATATTGATTTCACATCCCTCAAAATAATCAGAAAATGATAGTAGAGAAAAAAAAATTAAGCTTTAAACGATTTATTAACAATTGTAATCTAAATTTTCATTTGGTATTGTGGTTTTCATTTCATCAATTTATTCTGAAAACCCCCCACCGGAAGCGAATGATTACTTCCTGTTTAGCTTCGAGGTGTCAAATGTCTAAACAGAGCAGCAGCATCGGCTCGGAATCACTGGACGGAGGCTGAACGCGGCCGGTGGTCACAGAAGGTTCGAGCTTTTATTCTTTAACTTTCTGTTCCGAGTGTTTTCATGATCACCGTTTCCGGTTGAGAAGTTTGATGAGAGAACGACATAAAGCTAATGTTAGCTCCTCTTACTGAAGCTAATTAGCTTAGCTTATTAGCCAATGATCAACCTGGATGTCGAGCTTCTTATCAACAACAATAATCAGTTATTTTAGCATTTATTTATTGAAAAAAAGCTTTTTACAGCACTGTGTTGTTAATAAACATTTATTTAAAATGACCTTTATTTTATTATGTAATACGACTGTAAGAATGCTGATAGAAGTACTTTATATTTCCTAGACAGTTTTATCCTTAATATATGGAGTTATGGCATCAATGTGATGAAGGATTAACATTAATGATCATGATCCGTAAAAAGCCATTTTCAGCGGATGTTTTTTGACTTTTTTCTTGTCCTTGTTGTCATATCTGTTATTATGCTTTGGATTCTATTCTTGGATTCGATTCTAAGTTGCATTTATAGAATAAGGTTGATCTTTACTAATGAAACGCCTACAGTGATGTGTGTTTGTGTGCATGCAGACATGGAGGCGACGGAGGAGCAGCGGCGGCAGCTGGAGGAGCAGGTGGAGAGGCTGCTGAGCGGTCAGGGGTCAGAGGTCACATGGTGCGACCTGGGCCTGGAGCAGAGCAAACCGGCGTCCCTGAGGAAGACCGTCACCTACATCGTGTGCGCCGTCATCTTCAACGAGAAGGTCACGCCCCCATCAGTCCGTCGCTTTGTCGTTCAGCTGATGTGGTCTCTATAAGTGTGTGTGTGTGTGCGTGTGCGTGTGCGTGTGCGTGTGTGTGTGTGTGTGTGTGTGCGTGTGTGTGTCCCGTCTGCCAGGAGGAGGTGTTGATGGTGCAGGAGGCGAAGCAGGACTGTTACAAACAGTGGTACCTGCCCGCGGGGAGGGTGGAGGTGGGGGAGAGTCTGGAGGAGGCGCTGAGGAGGGAGGTGAGGCACACACACACACACACACACACACACACACACACACACACACACACGTGTGCCCGTCACCCGGGGTCACCGCTCTTGTTTCTCTGCAGGTGAAGGAGGAGGCGGGGCTTGACTGCGAGCCAGTCTCCTTGGTGCTGATCCAGGAGCAGGGGCCACAGTGGATCCGCTTCATCTTCCTCGCCAATGTCACAGGTCAGAGGTCAGAGGTCACAGGCTCGCTGGTGTAGGACTTCAATGATCTGAAACTCTCTCTCTCCTTCAGGCGGGAGTCTGAAGAGCCTGTTGGCTGCAGATAAGAAGTCTCTTCAGGCGTCCTGGTGGGACAGACAGTCCGTCCTCCCTCTGCGAGGACGGGACATCCTTCGCCTCATCGAGTGCGGACTCAAGTATGACCTCAGAGCTCTCTGGGTCTCTGTGCTAAGCTATGCTAAAGACACCATCAGGCTGTCCTACAAACACATACACCTTAATGTCCTGGGAACAATAAATCGATTTATTTTATACTATATGATTATATTATATTTATGAAAGTTCACTCCTACATTATTAAGAATGTCTATTGTCCTGCAGGAAGTAGAACGTTTTTATCTCATTTCTTTGCTTCTCAGGTACCGTCAGGATCCCGGGCATCCCGCCACGCTGCCCGTGGACCTGAGCCACCGCCACGTGGTGCAGAGACTGGTCCTGGTCTTCACCGGCGCCGAGGGGCGGGTCTGGATCCTGCTCGTCAGAGGTACCGTGAAAGAGCCTCTTCCTAATATTCCACTTAAACATTCACGGCGGAAGAAGAACGCTGGTTGGACACGTTTCAAAAAACACCTTTCAAAGTTCAAAGAACTCTGGTCAAACTACATTACCCAGAAGTCTCTCTGGAGAAGAATAAAAATGAAGACAATTCATCTTATTTTTCTGAGTAGATATGCGTGTTAAATATATATATATTTATTAAATATATATATATTTATTAAATATTAAATATATATACATATATTATATATATTATATATATATATGTATATGTATATGTATATATATATATATATATATATCTATATATATGTATATGTATATGTATATGTATATGTATATATATATATATATATATATATATATATATATATATGTATATGTATATGTACGTCCTGCAGACCCGGCGCTCCACCTCCCCACGGCAGCGGCGGTGAAGACGCACGCAGTGACGTGGGCAGCCAACATGGTGGTGCGGGACGCCGTGCCGTCGGCGTACTGCGACCACGACGTCCACACGCTGGGCGCCTTCAGCCTGCAGCACAACGGGCGGCAGCACGGCAAGACGGACGGCGTGTGCTTCAACACGCTGGTGGCGCTGACGCCGGACCACGTCAGGCACAACGAGGACGGGGAGAAGGTGGAGCGACCAGAGACGGGGCGGCCCCCGCCTGTGGAAAACCCTCGCTACGTCTGGCACCAGGTCCAGGGACAGACTCTGAGGGAGAAGCTGCTGGAGAAGACCAGGAACACCTCCATCTTACCCGTGCACAGCCTGTACTGACCCCCTCTCGCGGGGCTTTTATTGTGAAGGGAACAGGCAGCTGCTTGATTTAAAAGGACAGTGTGTTTGGAGGGTGTCGGCTCTCCAGACCTCATCTAACGGTGAATATCAGCTGAAGAATGTTCGCTCCGTCAGTTAGTTAATGTGTGACTGAACGAACCCGTTGAACCACAAGCTGAAGCAGAGCTTCAGTGTCCTGCAGCAATACCACCGCCGCCCTCTTTTATCCTGCAACACCGGTTTAAAAGTAAACAGAGCGATACAAGGGGAAAAGACGCTTCAGATTCACACTTAAATATTTCAGAAAATATCTCCAAATATGAATTTTTCTTTAAAAAACCTGATGCTTACTGATTTTAGATTCATTATATCATATGTACAAGGTAGGAAAAACGTATTGCTCGACACCGGTGTAAAACCAGCAAAAGGACTTTTATTACTTTTATTTATACTTATTATGTGCAGAGTTGAAACATGTTCACAGACGTGTTCAAGAGGCCAAAACTTATAACTCAACTCCTTTATTGGAAAGTAACCATCGACAGCTTTAAATAGGTGCTACTATGTATCTGTGTGTGTGTGTATATATATATAGTGTATACTATATATAGTATAGTGTGTGTATGTATATAATAATAATAATAATAAAAAAACATAATAATTTATATTAATAATAATATATATATATATATTATTATTAATATAAATTATAATTATTATGTTTGATGATGACCCTGTTGGTTTATTTAAGTTATACGTTAAAAACGATGTTTAGTTGATTCCTTTGTTAAATAAACCGTACTTTTGATCAGTTACGCTGCCTCGTTCCCTCTTTTGTCGCGGCCCTTGAGCCAGTTTGTGACAATATATATTAAATATGTGTAGCGCTGTTCCTTCGGTCGCCAACAGTCATTAAGCCGCAATTGAGCTGCTGAGTCCATTTCCTTGACGCGAATGACCGGAGGCTTTATATTCTTTTAGATTGGTGTTTATTTCCGCAAAATAAAAGCGTCAAAAAACACATTCCGTCACACGGTAGAAAAACTGCTCTCGTGCCTAATCAGCCCGTCTGAGGGCATCTGCTGCAAACAATATAGGAAAAGAAACGGCAACATATATGTCCCCTCAGGCTCTTACAATATGTGTGTTGTGTTTCTGAAAGAAGAAAGTTCATATTCATCAGATCACATTCTGATTGTTCACTGTGCTGCTGATTGACAGGAAATATGATCAAACTAGTAAATAAATGAACACAACTCTGATTCTGTGTGTTTTCTGTTATTTTGTATGAATATTTTGTGTTGTGAGGATTTTTTAAAAGTTTATTGTTGTGTTGTTGTTGTTGTTCATCCCTCCAAACAAAAAGATTCTACGTTGTGAGATTATTTATGTCTGCTGAGCCGGTGATGTCATCGCCTGGTCAGCTGACTCCCCGCTGACCTTCCTCGTGCTGTCCAGCTTCTTCAGGTGTTTGGTCCGGTTGTCCAGGCGGACCACCCACTCGCCCCGCAGCCTGGAGACACAGAGGACACGTCACGTCTTTCTGTCTCTCTGTCGAGAGTCAAAGCTTTTGCTTCAGTTATTTAGTTACTTTAAGCAGCAATAAAGCCTCCTTCTCTCAGTGTTTTCTCAGTGTTTTCTCTGTGTTTCCTCTGTGTTTCCTCCGTGTTTCCTCTGTGTTTCCTCCGTGTTTCCTCTGTGTTTTCTCAGTGTTTCCTCTGTGTTTTCTCAGTGTTTCCTCAGTGTTTCCTCTGTGTTTCCTCAGTGTTTCCTCAGTGTTTCCTCTGTGTTTCCTCAGTGTTTCCTCAGTGTTTCCTCAGTGTTTCCTCTGTGTTTACTCAGTGTTTCCTCTGTGTTTCCTCTGTGTTTCCTCAGTGTTTCCTCTGTGTTTCCTCTGTGTTTCCTCTCTCTCTCTCACAGCGGCGCTGTGGTCAGATTTATGTCTCTAAGCCGATCCGGCATCCTGGTGACAGCTGGAGTGTCATCGATGTCACAGCCGCGTTTAACTTTATATTTATTTCAGCATCAATCAAACACACACCAACTTCAGTGTGTGTGTGTGTGTGTGTGTGTAACCGAACGCTCGCCATCAGCTGTCCTCGCTGTGTTTTCGCCGCCTTCCTGTCAACTTTTCAGGATTATTCCATTTGTCCTCTCGGTGCTGATAATCCAGCTGACTTTGAGGACTGCAGAACGCCGACAGAGGCCCAACACGTGGTCTCCGTCTCATTGGACGTGAAACGATCACCGGTGAGAACATTCCGTCCAGCAGGACAGGAGGTGTCATCTGCTGGTTTGTGGACGCTTTGGAGTGACTTTATAATGGACTGAGGAGGATGTAGAGATGCTGTATACGAGGCTACACCTGTCAATCAGGTGTAGCCCCGCCCTAAAGCATTCCCTGCTTTATAGTCTGTTTGGCATCTTCAACACCTCCTTGGAGACCTGCCACGTACCAGCCTGCTTCAAGGCCTCCACCATCGTCCCTGTTCCCAAGAAGCCCAGGATCACAGGACTCAATGACTACAGGCCCGTCGCCCTGACCTAACGGCTAGTCCTGTCCCACCTGAAGACCCTCACCGACCCAGGTAGGTTGGCTCTGTAGGCTCTGTTTGTGCCTCTTCCATCTGGCAGGAGGCTGAGGTCCATCAGGACTAAGACCTCCCGCCACACCAACAGTTTCATCCCGTCGGCAGTCGGGCTCATCAACAGAGCCGGTCCCCCACTGACTGACTATAACATCCCACCGTCATTTCCTCATAGACGTCTATGGGAGCAGAGGAGTCGCCCCCTGCTGGTCACTACAGAGAAGTAGAGTCATTTCCTCATAGACGTCTATGGGAGCAGAGGAGTCGCCCCCTGCTGGTCACTACAGAGAAGTAGAGTCATTTCCTCATAGACGTCTATGGGAGCAGAGGAGTCGCCCCCTGCTGGTCACTACAGAGAAGTAGAGTCATTTCCTCATAGACGTCTATGGGAGCAGAGGAGTCGCCCCCTGCTGGTCACTACAGAGAAGTAGAGTCATTTCCTCATAGACGTCTATGGGAGCAGAGGAGTCGCCCCCTGCTGGTCACTACAGAGAAGTAGAGTCATTTCCTCAGACGTCTATGGGAGCAGAGGAGTCGCCCCCTGCTGGTCACTACAGAGAAGTAGAGTCATTTCCTCAGACGTCTATGGGAGCAGAGGAGTCGCCCCCTGCTGGTCACCACACAGAATGCAGCTTTAACACATTAAGGTTGGACTTCGAGATGGAAATGTGACCGCATGGAGAATAGACACGTCTAAAAACAGACGCTGTCATTACAAACGGCGTCTCGAGGACATACCGAGACAAGCACTCAACCCTGTGGACCGTTTGGTGGTTAAAGGTCTTCGTAATGATGATCAGGAACATCAGACCTGCTGAACCTGAAGTCACCTTGTAAACCCGTCCACCGTTTCCTGTTCCACTGATCACACATTTTACCTTCTAATACAGCCGAGAAGATACAAGTGAATTAAAGTAACAATTCGTTTTTCTTATGACCCTCGCTGTGACTCTGTTTGTGTATTTGTTAAATCTCAGAAAAACTATGAACTAGGCTTTAGACAATGGACAACATGACTCTACCTCGACTAAAACACTAACAAATTGTAGCACCTAAATTGTATTTTGGCTTATTTGATGAAATCACACTTTCTTGTTTCTTGTTCTTCTGAGTTTGTGTCCTTATGGTTGAAATGTTCTTATTGTAAGTCGCTTTGGATAAAAGCGTCAGATAAATGACATGTGATGTAATAAAGACAGATAAGACAACATCGAGCACCGTGGCAGCCATTATGTGTGTGTGTTGCTTCATGAAGGTTTGGTCTGGATTTGATCCATCCATCTTCTTCTGGTCAGACCATCATTACGTTACACTGGGATTTTCAGAGGTTTGTACACCTCTTCCTACCTTCACCTCTTGGCGTGACACCAGCTATCAGCCCGAGCCTTCCTAACTCCAGTCCCCTACCCCTCCCCCCTCGGCCCATCACACCTAATCCCCCTGCTATCCATTACGGCGTACCCCTTAATCCCCCTCCTATCAATACCGTGTATCTCCTAATCCCCCAGCTATCTGTTGCAGTATCTGCCCCTCCCCACGCCTCTAACCCCGGACCCCCGTCGCTGCTAATTATGTTCGTTATGTGTGACCTGGCCAGAGGCCAGAACAAAAAGGGGCGGAGGTGATAATCGCGGAGCGATGAGTGATGGAGGCCGGCAGAGACTCGCGGGCTGAAGATTTTCCGTTCTAAATCAGGAAAGAAACAACACAAGAACACAGTTTTCTGGGGGTATTTTACAGAGAGAAAGCGTGTTTAATCGAGGCGGAAACTTCTGGCTCTTCAGCAGGGGGCGACTCCTCTGCTCCCATAGACGTCTATGAGGAAATGACTCTACTTCTCTGTAGTGACCAGCAGGGGGCGACTCCTCTGCTCCCATAGACGTCTATGAGGAAATGACTCTACTTCTCTGTAGTGACCAGCAGGGGGCGACTCCTCTGCTCCCATAGACGTCTATGAGGAAATGACTCTACTTCTCTGTAGTGACCAGCAGGGGGCGACTCCTCTGCTCCCATAGACGTCTATGAGGAAATGACTCTACTTCTCTGTAGTGACCAGCAGGGGGCGACTCCTCTGCTCCCATAGACGTCTATGAGGAAATGACTCTACTTCTCTGTAGTGACCAGCAGGGGGCGACTCCTCTGCTCCCATAGACGTCTATGAGGAAATGACTCTACTTCTCTGTAGTGACCAGCAGGGGGCGACTCCTCTGCTCCCATAGACGTCTATGAGGAAATGACTCTACTTCTCTGTAGTGACCAGCAGGGGGCGACTCCTCTGCTCCCATAGACGTCTATGAGGGAAATGACTCTACTTCTCTGTAGTGACCAGCAGGGGGCGACTCCTCTGCTCCCATAGACGTCTATGAGGAAATGACTCTACTTCTCTGTAGTGACCAGCAGGGGGCGACTCCTCTGCTCCCATAGACGTCTATGAGGAAATGACTCTACTTCTCTGTAGTGACCAGCAGGGGGCGACTCCTCTGCTCCCATAGACGTCTATGAGGAAATGACTCTACTTCTCTGTAGTGACCAGCAGGGGGCGACTCCTCTGCTCCCATAGACGTCTATGAGGAAATGACTCTACTTCTCTGTAGTGACCAGCAGGGGGCGACTCCTCTGCTCCCATAGACGTCTATGAGGAAATGACTCTACTTCTCTGTAGTGACCAGCAGGGGGCGACTCCTCTGCTCCCATAGACGTCTATGAAGAAATGACTCTACTTCTCTGTAGTGACCAGCAGGGGGCGACTCCTCTGCTCCCATAGACGTCTATGAGGAAATGACTCTACTTCTCTGTAGTGACCAGCAGGGGGCGACTTCCTTCTGCTGCCATAGACGTCTATGAGGAAATGACTCTACTTCTCTGTAGTGACCAGCAGGGGGCGACTCCTCTGCTCCCATAGACGTCTATGAGGAAATGACTCTACTTCTCTGTAGTGACCAGCAGGGGGCGACTCTTCTGCTCCCATAGACGTCTATGAGGAAATGACTCTACTTCTCTGTAGTGACCAGCAGGGGGCGACTCCTCTGCTCCCATAGACGTCTATGAGGAAATGACTCTACTTCTCTGTAGTGACCAGCAGGGGGCGACTCCTCTGCTCCCATAGACGTCTATGAGGAAATGACTCTTCTTCTCTCTGGATTTATTCCCTCAGTAAACATTGTAAACATGAGTTTATGGTCTCAGTCGCTAGTTTCAAGTCTTCTTCAACACAACATGATGTTCATTTAGTGACTGATGGTCACACAGACAAGAAGCTTGTCACAGGCGTTCCTGCTTTCAATTGAGAGGTTTGCAACTCAGAAGAACAGAAGAGCAAAACTCTTCTTCAAATAATCATAATGAAATGTGTTTATGTATTATTATATATATATATATATATATATATATATATATATATATATATAGAGAGAGAGAGAGAGAGAGAGAGAGAGAGAGAGAGATCTAAATCTATTGTTGTAGTATTCTCAGCATTGTGTGAGTACTTCTAACTTTTATACTTAGACTACATTGTGTTGCCAAAGTACTGGCAGTACTTGTACTTTTTCCAGAGTATTTTCTCGGTGTGTCAGCGGTGTTTCTGTGTGCTTGTCGTACTTCTTGAGGGCGCTGCGGTTCCTCCGCTGCTCCTCGCTCTCGGCATGTTGGCTCTCGCCGTGGATCTTCTCCTCCCAGAAGGTCTTCACGTGCAGCCCCTCGTGAATCTTTGCAAGGTTCATCTGCACCGACACAAAGCTGTGATCAGAGCCTCGCCGGCCCCTGCTGGCCCTTTGACACCTGACGTTATACAATGTGTAGTTGTACAATGTGTAACCCTAACCCACCCTGTACTGCGAAGTACTGAGGTAATGTCTCTAGTACTACCAATAATACTAGAGAGAGATCCTCTTCCTGATACATCATTGTTCAAGCATTTAAAATATGCTGCAGCAACACAAATGTACTTAAAGCACTTTAAAAGTATATTTAAACATATTTGTTGTGCAGTCTATCTATATCTATATCTATAGTATGTGAAATTAAACTGTGGTAAAGAAGTAAATGTATTTAGATAACTTCCACATTTATTTTAATACTTTTTTATTTATCATATTTCTTTATATTATTTACTTTCAATATCTGGGTAATAATAATAAAATATATACTTCTTAAAGCGGCTTCACAGTGTGTTAAATTAGGCATTAAAATCCAACAAAATCCAACTATATTTAATTCTAGATTGATTTTAATAACGTGGAATTAAATACATTTGGACATAATAATAATAATAATAGTTCCACATAGTTTAATAATCAAAGTCCTTCACTGTAAAACAAAGAATGAACTACTTCAGAGCCGTAGATTCAATAAATAAAGGAAAACACGGAAATATAAAAATAATGACATGAGATTTAAATGATGATAAAAAAACTGAAAAAGACAAAACAAACCTTCAGAGGTCCAACTGGGCGTCCGTCCGCCTCACTGAGTGAGTGTTTGTCCTCCCAGCTCAGCAGACACAAGACAAATGTTTTACATGTGAACCTCCGCCTGAATGTGTCAGTAAACACCTCGTCCCTCCCAGTGAACTCACTCCATTGGAATCTAACTGGGCTGCAGGGACAGACTGGGAGTAAGAGACATGGCCGGACAGAGGGGGGGACAGAGGGACTATATCTTTATTTTTAGAAGTTATCTGTCAGGGGAGACAGATAACGGGGGACAAGTGAGAGAGAGATGAATAAGGGACAGGGGAGACAGATAACGGGGACAAGTGAGAGAGAGATGAATAAGGGACAGGGGAGACAGATAACGGGGGACAAGTGAGAGAGAGATGAATAAGGGACAGGGGAGACAGATAACGGGGGACAAGTGAGAGAGAGATGAATAAGGGACAGGGGAGACAGATAACGGGGGACAAGTGAGAGAGAGATGAATAAGGGACAGGGGAGACAGATAACGGGGGACAAGTGAGAGAGAGATGAATAAGGGACAGGGGAGACAGATAACGGGGGACAAGTGAGAGAGAGATGAATAAGGGACAGGGGAGACAGATAACGGGGGACAAGTGAGAGAGAGATGAATAAGGGACAGGGGAGACAGATAACGGGGGACAAGTGAGAGAGAGATGAATAAGGGACAGGGGAGACAGATAACGGGGGACAAGTGAGAGAGAGATGAATAAGGGACAGGGGAGACAGATTACGGGGACAGGTGAGAGAAAGATGAATCAGGGACAGGGGAGACAGATAACAGGGGACAAGTGAGAGAGAGATGAATAAGGGACAGGGGAGACAGATAACAGGGGACAAGTGAGAGAGAGATGAATAAGGGACAGGGGAGACAGATAACGGGGGACAAGTGAGAGAGAGATGAATAAGGGACAGGGGAGACAGATAACGGGGGACAAGTGAGAGAGAGATGAATAAGGGACAGGGGAGACAGATAACGGGGGACAAGTGAGAGAGAGATGAATAAGGGACAGGGGAGACAGATAACGGGGGACAAGTGAGAGAGAGATGAATAAGGGACAGGGGAGACAGATAACGGGGGACAGGTGAGAGAAAGATGAATCAGGGACAGGGGAGACAGATAACGGGGGACAGGTGAGAGAAAGATGAATCAGGGACAGGGGAGACAGATAACAGGGACAAGTGAGAGAGAGATGAATAAGGGACAGGGGAGACAGATAACAGGGGACAAGTGAGAGAGAGATGAATAAGGGACAGGGGAGACAGATAACGGGGGACAAGTGAGAGAGAGATGAATAAGGGACAGGGGAGACAGATAACGGGGGACAAGTGAGAGAGAGATGAATAAGGGACAGGGGAGACAGATAACGGGGGACAGGTGAGAGAAAGATGAATCAGGGACAGGGGAGACAGATAACGGGGGACAGGTGAGAGAAAGATGAATCAGGGACAGGGGAGACAGATAACGGGGGACAGGTGAGAGAGAGATGAATTAGGGACAGGTGAGACAGAGACAACGGGGGACAGGTGAGAGACGGACAAACGAGAGAAAAAGGTGATGATACCAAAAGTAACCACATCATGGAGGTACAGGAGGTAGAGAGTCCATCAGGCAGATGGTGTCTGTGTTTTGTTGTTTACTGGATAGAAGACACCAGGTGATCTCATGATTGACAGCCCTGGACAATGACATAATGAGTCAGCACAGAGGGGGACGTCTCACGAACTCACTGGTCTTCAAAGGGCCCCCTGCTGCTTTCGGGTCGCCAGGATGGAATGTTTCCTCCTTCTGGAGCTTTCTGTCCCCTCGTGTGATCTTCAGGAGACAATGAATCCGTTTGCGTGGGAACGAACAAAGTGTGAAATGTCTGTTTCTCCATGACGACTGTTTGATGAAGATCACACACACGACCACAGCCTGTCAGCTGTCACGAGCTCCATCATTGGAGAACACACACACAAGTTGGTTTCTGTGTGCGTGTGTGTGTGTGTGTGTGTGTGTGCGTGTGTGTGTGTGTTTTAGACATGTATATCGTGTAGACGGTGATGGCACGCTGTGTGTGTCGACAGAAAGTGCTTCCACAATGATGTCATGCACTTCAGGACATACCTTACAAGTGTGTGTGTGTGTGTGTTTGCATGTAGTGTGTGTAGACGTGGACACGTCTCAGCCCCCTCAGGGCGCGTTATGATCCTTCCCTCGGGTGTGAAGCACACTCACAGACACACTCACGCACAGTGTGTCACTCAGCTGTCTGCGAGCTAAATGCAAAGCTATGGCCGGCAACTGGTTAGCTTAGCTTAGCATTAAGACTGGTTCTGAGAGTAACTAAATAGCCACCACTTGCTTCGGATGAAATTATAAAATTGAATTGTATTTCTAAATATTGTCTCTCTCCAATGACATTTTGAATTTCTTTTTCCTTGACATTTTTTGTATTGTTTTTTTTTCAAAAGATTTTTTGACCTAATATTTTTTTACTTTTATTCCATGACAGTTAAAATTTAAAAAATAACGCATTCTGAATATTCTATTTTTTATCTTAATTATTCTGACTTTCTTTTTAAAAACAAATATTTTTAGATTTTTTACAGGCTAAATATTTACTGTATATTTTTGAATGTTCTTCAAAACATTTTTTAAATATTTTTATTTATGACATTTTTAGACAATGTATATTTTCCATGACATTCATTTTCAACCTAATAATTTTATGTATTTCTGTTTATTTTCCATCTTAGATATACTTTTTTTAAAAGAAAAAGTGTGTCAACTTCGTTCAATAAAACCGCAAGCTTTACACCAAAGGTCGATTGCAACTTCAGCTTAGAACTATATAGTTCCAATTTTAAATGTATGCCAACATATATTGTATACATATAAATAGATATTTAGCATTTTCTTTAGTAATCGCTGTGACTCCTGGTCAGGGTTAAACGTTAAGCTATCGAGCCCGAGCTTTAAAATCATCCAAGATATCAAATCAAACGTGTGTGTTATGTGGAGTTCTGGTAAAACAGCCTTTCGCCAAACAACAAACCTTTGAATTCTACTTTGCACTGAGCGAAGTTGAAGTTGATTGATTCCCGAGGAGGAGTTAAAGTACAGCACCTAGAAATACACATTCAGTTCTACATGTCAGACTTCCCGTTGGCTTTGGAGCTTGAACCCAAATTGCACTTTTAAATAGCTGCGATGCTCGTTGCCTTACTGGTCTGGTACATCTCAGATAAATGAACATCTGAAAAAGACGTTAACTTCCTGTTACCAGTAGGTGGCGCCATCACTGTGATCAACATTAGCTCGTAGATGTCTTCGGCCCTTGGATGCACCTTGGAGTTACAACAACGTATATTTGAATGGCGACGTGCAATAAATGAGCGTAACATTCTTCATTCTGAGGGCTACGCCTCAAAGTCTGTCGCAGTTCATCAAAGTACAACGTCTGAAAACGGTCAATAAAACATATTCAGCCGTCCTGAGAGGTATTACTGCTCGTACTGCAGTACAAAACGCAAAGTACTTCTTATTAGCAATCCAGATGAATGTCAGGCAGCGGCGTCATGTGACACATGGCGAGGGAAGCGCCTAAGAATAGCACGTTGTGTCACACACACACACACAGACACACACACACAGACACACACAGACACACACACACACACACACACACACACAGTCAGATCTCAGTAAACAAGCTGGGGGGCGTTTCGACTGACGGACGTCAACAGGATCTCAGGTATGAAATCACTTTGTTTTTAATGGCGGCTGGAGTTTGTTTGTTATCTTATTGTTATTGGATTAGCTGGATGCTGAATAAACAAAACAAGTATAAACAGGGTCTTAAAGTTAACAGATGCAGACACAGGAAGTAGAGTTCCCTCTCCTTCGTCTCTGGTGTCCTTCCAATTAGCATGTTAGCATGCTAAGAGCTAACATGCTAACGTGGGGATCATGAACACATGTCTGAAGATTTATATGTAACTTTATTGATAAACAGCAGCACATTGTAAAGTACATTTACTCAAGTACTTTGAGTACTATGTCTCCTATACATCTCAGGGGTACATGTTGTACTTTTACTGGACTACATCTCAGAGGTAAACATCGATATCATAGTTAAATACATATATGATCGTAGATTTACCGACTTTGTTTGACTTCCTCCTCCTCGTCCTCCTCACCAGGTGTCACATGGGCCTCGGGGGGAGGCGGGACGTCCTGCCGCGCGGAGACGTCTCCGTGATCAGAGGCATGTGGGAGGTCCGGGTGAAGCAGCACCGGCAGAGACTGAAGGAGGAGCAGGAGAGGATGGAGCAGAGCGCCTTGCCCAAGTAACCGCTGTGACATCATCACCGTGACATCATCACCGTGTTACTCCTCCTACTTAGAATCTCTGTTACTAGAATTAAATAACGCTGCTGGTCTCCGAGGCTCAGAGATGATTCATGAACATGTTATTTAGATATAAACATCAACGCTGAGGGTCAAAGGTCACAAGGTGGCTGCAGGTGATTCACTGACGCGTCCGTCTCTCCGTCTGCAGGATCGACCAGCAGTGGCAGTATCGTATCTACTGTAAGACCCTGAAGAAAAATGAGCTGAACCTTCTGCATTCTTACCTGGAGAGATCTACACAGGTGTACACAGGTAAACGCTGCAGGTAAACGCTGCAGGTAAACACTGATCATGATGATGTTGTTGTTGTTGTTGTTGATCCCGCAGAAGCGGGGCTGCAGGACCAGGAGGACGTGGAGCAGAGCGGGCTGATCTTCCGCCTGCACGGAGCTCAGTGGAAGGTGAGGATCATCTTCTCCACCCTTCATGTGACGGAGGAGATAAAAGCAGAGGAAGGAGAAACCAATGGTAACGGAGGAGATGGAGAAGAGTAGATGAAGGAGTTAAAGAGGGATGTGAGGGGGGAAGATGATGTAGATGGAGGAGATGGAGGTGATGGAGGAGAGCAAGCCTGCTGCTGTCGTTGCAGGACTTCCCTGGGGAGCTGAGGGGGCGGAGCTACCTGAGGGAGTGGCACGTCATCGACACCAACGTCAGCCGGCTGCCCGACTTCCTGAAGCTCTTCACCCAGCTCAGAGTCCTGCACCTGCCCAAGAACGCCATCGAGGAGCTTCCTCCGGAGATCGGTGAGGAGAGAACCTCAGCGAGGAGGTTCCACACGAGAGAGATTATGGTCATTATATCGGATCCATTCGGGTTTCACGTTCTTCTTCAGTCTTTTGGGTGAGTTCTTGTTCTGCCTCCTCCACTGATTTGTGAAAACTGAAGAGGAGGAAGAAGAGGAGGAACAGGAAGAAGAGGAACATTATGAAGGAGGAGGAGGAGGAAGAACAAGCAGTGGAGGAGGAAGAGGATGAGGAAGATGAGGGGGAATGTTTGACTTCATATGTTTCCTTTCGAATAATTGTCATCAGCTGAAGCACATTCTCTGTGTTCTGTTTAAAAAGCTTCCTGGCGGCCATGTTGTCTCTTCAGGGCCCGTTGGAGAGTTGAGCTCCTCCAGAAGGTCTGAGGCTCGTTAGTCGATTACGATGAAGACAAAACCGTTTCATGAAATAAAGAAAGATGAGGATTCTTGTTCGGCCTCCTAGAATAATGACCGAGGTGTTTTTTGAAGCATTGCGGCGTCTCTTCTGCCTGCAGGGAAACTTTTGGCTTTGAGGGAATTGAACCTCAGCTACAACCGCTTGTCCACCGTCCCCCCTGAACTGGGACACTGCGAGGACCTGAGGAGGCTCGAGCTCACGGGGAACCGCGACCTCTCCGAGCTGCCGTTCGAGGTAAAGCCCGCCGAGCAACTGATGATGTCACTGTGCTGATGACGTCACTGTGCTGACTCCGGCGATGTCATCGTCAGCTGAGCAGCCTGAAGCACCTTGAGCACCTGGACGTGGCGGAGAACCGCTTCGCCTCCGTCCCCGTCTGCGCCCTGAGGATGAGCGGCCTGCGGCTGCTGGACCTGAGCAACAACCGGCTGACCGACCTGCCGCAGGACATGGACAGGTGACCCGTGATGTCATCGCCGTCCCATCGGAGACCAGTTTAATTCCATGAGGAGATACATTGAATACATGTGACGACAGCAGAGGCTCTGCCCTTCATGCTAAGCTAGGCTAACCTTGCACGAGACAGAAGAAGCGTTGCAGTGATATAACTGTGTGTGTGTGTGTGTGTGTGTGTAGGTTGGAGCAGCTGGTCACCCTCCTCCTCCATAGGAACAATGTGTCCTACCTGCCGCACTGTCTCACCAACATCTGCACGCTGAAGATGGTCGTCGTCAACGGCGACGCCCTCACCTGCTGCCCAATCAAACTGTGCAGGAACCCACAGATCAAGTACACACAACGCACACAACACAGAGATCAAGTACACACAAGACACACAACACAGAGATCAAGTACACACAACGCACACAACCCACAGATCAAGTACACACAACTCACGTGTGTCGTCAGACTGACGTCTCTTCTTCGTTCCCTCTGCAGGTTCGTTCGACTGTGTGATCGTGCGAGTTTGGAGAAGAAGGAGGAGAAGAAGGAGGAGAGCAGGCGGAGGAGGTGGAGGCAGCAGAGGGAGGTGGAGGAGGTGGAGGTGAAGAAGGACAGCAGAGAGAAGGAGTTCATTGAGGTCTACATCGGCTCCCTGAAGGAACGAGGTGAAAACCTCATTCAATCTTCGTGCATCTGTTCTTTCATTATTGAGGCTCCATGTTCATATTTGAACAAATATTTAAAAATTATTAAGTTATTTTAATATTGATGATTTTTACAAAATATTAAAATATAATTTTCTATAATTCAAACAGTTATCCAGTGATTTATATTTATTACATTTTCTGTGTTGATATTTCGTTTTTAAAATGTATTCAAATTGGCAATAATTACTGCGTCATTACAATAATAATTATATTAACATCCTATTGTTGACATGTTTGTCCCTCACCAGACACCGTCCCTGAATCCACCACCAAGGTGTCCATCTCTTGCCAGCTGTGACGAAGACGAGGAGGATGAAGAGTCATCAGAAGGATCAAACAAAAACACCTTGAGTTGGATTTGTGTTTTTTATCGAAGACGTTTTGCACTTTGAGTTGTTGGGTTGATTTTAATGTTTTTGCTGAATGAGACTTTTGAATTTCAAGGGTTTTTATTTCCATTGTATTTTATCCTTTAAAAATTCCCAAATCAGATTTACAACCTCATTATAATAAATATTTAACTTGTCAAATGTCAGTATTTGAACTTCATAAACATGACAACTAGATTTTATGGTTCAGGTAAAAAAAAAAAATTACAGAAATAACTTCGATAAATAAATGATTATAATTATAATAAATCATTATTTATGACTTTTAAAATTGAGCTGATCAACGATTTTAAATTACTGGATAAGAAAAATCACATGTGATTTGATGAACTTCCTGTTTTATTATTTAGTGTAATGCTTCACGGAATATAGTTGTTTATTTTTTTAATTGTGATTAACGGCTGAAAATGTGACAATTTAACTTGTTTTAATTAAAATTATCTCAAAATGGAGAAATGCAGTTTGCCAATAAGTTACATGTATGTTTATAAATAACAAAATCAAACAATAAACACAAATAAGTCTGAGTTGCAATTTTCATAAATCTCTTTATTACCATTATTATTTTTATAGATATTATTCAAAATTATGTCAATAAGATAAAACAAAACAAAGACGTCATTCAGTGTCTTTGTTTCTCTATAAAAACACCGATATGAACATGAAGAATGATTCGAGGCACAAAGTCAGAAGCAAACGAGGCGCAAAACACAGTCCTGCTTCATTAGAGGAGGAAGAGGAGGAGGAGATGAAGCAGCAGAGTCCGGCTTCATTAGAGGAGGAATGTTTCTGTTCTAACGGATCATCAGCTGAAATACATTTGCAGCCATGTTGTCTCTTCAGGGCCGGTCGGAAAGTTGAGCGCTTCCACAATTTGATTTGAGGCTCATTAGTTATGATGCAGATAAAATAGTGAAAGATAACTCTGTTTAAAAAAAATAAAGAAATCCAAACATTTGGTTTAAATTTAAATCCTGATTTTTGGAACCTCAAAATTAGAATTTAGAAGTTCAATATTTTAATTCCAACTCAATAGTTTGAATATCCTGTAAATATGTTTAATACAAGTCTAACCTCTTTCATGCTTTCACTAAAACAAACATAATATACAAAGTCTCTCCTGTGGAAGAGAAGACGAGTTCTTCTCTTTTCTAAAAACGTAGGAAACTAGTCGTCTGGATCAGCGCTGAGCTTTCCGACGGGACCAGAACTCAGCAGCAACATAAAGTGCCTGAAGAACAAACACAATTAACACTGGTGCATTCTGGGAGATTGAGTCACGACAGACCAGAAAAATACACTGCAGGTCCAACCGTCAGTCTGACATCTCTGAAGAGTTAATGGCACGTTGAAATAAAAAGACGTCGATTGTGCTTCGTCATCATCGTCATCATCGTCGATTGATGCTGCATTCAAGTCCCCAGCGAGAAAAAAGCGGCAGCTGTGTCGTTGAAAAAGAAAAGTAGAAAGCAATAGTTTTGCTTAGTTCTGTGAGACCTTCCTCAGATGGAACCCGGAATTCCCACGCAACAGATGGACCTTGAACGCAGCAAGTATTCCATCGACAACACGAGTCCTAAAGTAACGGAAAGAACCGATGGATTCTGTGAACGGACCCACAGAGAACGTGTGGAGACTGCTGGATGGTGCGTTCAAGGACATACTGTAGCTCCAAAGAACACATGAGGGACAGATTTAAATGGACAGTTAGGGGTCCTTGAACGCACCACGCAGACTGCAGCACCTTGCTCGTGCTACTTTACACCACAAAGCTTTTCAAAGTTTCAAGTCTCCACAGTCAGATGTTCCCTGAAGTAAAAGCCGACCCCTCCCAGCATGCACTGGGGTTCTTCTAACCGGTCCTTGAGTCGCTACAGTACTGACGGGCGAGGATCAGCCGTCTGTCAATGCAGAGATGAACAGCGACAACAGGAAACAAGCACACTGTCGCTTCCCACAATGCCGAGCAGCTCTGACCTCAGCAACCGGGGAGCAGCTTTCCATGTTAGTCGTGGTGGGAGCTGCTCCTCCAGCAAAGGGCGTTTGATCTCCAGGCCTCTGCACACCTGCCGGGTGGAGTTAGGTGGTGCAGCAGCAGACACACACAGACGGAGGGAAACCAAACTGACTCCAAAGCGTTGGGGCGGCAACCAGACTGACGGCTTGAGGTTTGCCGGGCGCGTTTTCCTCAGAGTACCTCCGAGTACCTCAGAGTACCTCGGAGTACTGCAAACAGGATCTCAGGGGACCGTTGGAACGAGTGTAACGGCGCTGAAGCGGCGTGAACACTGATGTGAAAGTCGAGTATCGAACGATTTTATTTACATTCAGAAACTGAAAAATCCTCAATTCTAATAAAGTGGTTATGATTTAATAATGTCTTGATGAATCTAATTTATCAGTTGTGACTCATTAAGTTAAAAAAATGAAAAAAATCTCTTCTACAAATAGAATTGTGATCTTTATCTAATAACGAGAAGCTGTGTAGCATTTGAATATTGATTTATAATTCTGATGTGCGAGCTTTTAAAGAGATGCTAATATAAGTGATACAACAGCTTGACAGCGTGAGCAAGCTCTAAAAAGAGAAGTGATCATGTGTACTTCGTAGTAGTACTTCGGTTACTGCTCCCCACACACCCGGCGGGGCTACGAAGAGGAGATCATGTATAACAAATGATAGAAACCTTATTGACTTGTAACAGCAACTGTGGTGAAGGGAAACGATTAGCAATATTTCAGATAAGACCACCCAATGCTTTTACTTTGAAGGGCCAGGTTAAAAGACCAAAGTTCAAATTATTTCAAAAGTAACGTGTGTGATAAAGGCATGAATGGATCGTGATGAAGTAAAGCTCGTCAGTGCGATTGTCGCCCGACAGGCCGACAAAAAATCTGAAAAAGGTTTATTCTGAAAAGGGGCGGGAGTCGTTAATGGCCTCGTAATTGGCGCGGGAGGCGAGGGGGAGGCGGGGCGCTCATGTCACATGCTGCTGTCCTGGAGCAGCGGTTCAATGTCCTCCGCGTCGCTGGTGGGCGTGGCCAGAGGGCCGGCGCTCTGAGAGTGTGCGGCGGAGGCGCTGCCAGATTTGGAGGTCTTGACGTCGTCCAATCGGTGATCCGGGATAAAGATGGCGACCAGGAGAGCGAATAAGACCGCAAACGCACCGAACAGGAAAGGAGGGCCGGGGATCATCGACTTCTGCGCCCAGAGAACGAGATCGTAGAATTCATATTAGTCAACAAGACCCCCTAGACTCCAGTCCCCACCACGTGGCAGAAACAAGCGTGTGTGTGTGTGTGTGTGTGTGTGTGTGTGTGTGTGTGTGTGTGTGTGTACATACCTCAGTGACGGGTGCGGGACGTCCCGCCACCTGCGGCATGTCGTTCAGCTCCACGTTGAAGAGGAAGAAGATGAAGCCGTAGAGAGCCGGACCCAAACCGTTACAGAGACCTCGGATACCTGTGATCATCCCCTGGGCCACTCCTGAGGACACACACACACACACACACACACACACACACTCCTCAGAAAGCTTCCAACACGCACGGGAACACACACACACAGTGCACAACAACACAGAAGACAGACCCTGCTGGTCAGCCGATGCGCTGACGGACACCAGAGCAGAGACTGCTGGGAAAGTGATGGAGGACATCGCTGCCACCGTTCCTGCTGCCCACATCATCCTGAGACACACGAGTCCAGAAGGACAGTCAACAACAACAACAACAACAACAACTTCTCCATCACGTGAGCAGCACTCGGGAGACGAGCTCACCAGGGCTCCGAGCCGAAGCCGTACCAGGCCAGCTGGAAGAGCTGGAAGCCCAGACCCAGGAGAACGGTGTTCTTGTTCCCAATGGTCCTCATCAGAACCCCGAGGAACAGCGTCTGAGACAGAGACACGGTCACGCCAGCAGACGTGTCCCCTCTGTTACTTTGGCTTTAGGGTGACTGAAGGTCACACATGAACCAGCTAACCGACAGGAGGAGAAGCTGCAGTTCAGCGCCAGAAAGACGTTCACTTAAACTGCGACCGATCGTTTTAGTTTAAAATATGAGCATTGATGGGATCGATGTACCTCATATAGCTGGTCCTCCTAAACTACTAATCAATGCTCTTTGTAATTGCTTCCTGTGTGAAATGTAGATTTGATTCGTTGTGGTTTAACATTAATTAGACAAACACGCCTTTCAGTTAGAGCCAATCAAACGTTAACGAACACGTTCTATGCAGCCTGATCGAGGCTTTTAAACGAGATCATTTAAAAACTAATGTCAACCTGAACGTTTTGATTAAAGATTTGAATGTGAAAATATAAAATCTGCAACCAAAAAAAGTGTATTTTTTTTAAACACATTTCCAACTGGTTATATTTGTGTAGTTTGTGTACCTGGGCGACGATGGAAAGGATTCCCACCATGGCGATGAAGGCAGCGATGGCTGCAGGAGAAAACTCAATCACCTGAAACACACAACAGCAGCAGGTCCATGTGAGTGTTTGTATACGCGTGTGTTTGTACACGCGTGTGCGTTACCTGTCTCAGGTAGAGGAAGAAGCTGGAGTATTGTCCTGCTTCGGGGAGGTACGAGAGGAACACCGTGACGCAGATCAGCAGCACCGTGGTGTCTTTCCCAACGCGACGCAGAGACTGAGCAACAAAACAATCAAGCAGAAAAAAGGCGCCGCGTCACTACGCAGGAGACGGCGTTCAGGCGTTGAAGCTGCATTCTCTGGAGTGAGCAGCAGGGGGCGTAGCGTCAAGCCTTCAGCTCAGCATGACGTTCATTTAGTGAGTTATGGTCCATTTAGAGTCTAACAGACCATGACGCAGGGGACGCTTTAGGGCGGGGCTACACGCTGATTGACAGGTCTCAACAACATTCGAATTTGGCCCCTCCTGCCCGTAACCTTTGAACCCTCCGCTTCCAACTCACGGAGAAGGGGTCGGCCTGCTCCCAGGAGATGGGGAAGCCCCAGGACGTGAGCCTCATCTTGTCCGGGAGAGACTCGGGGACCACGAAGAACACGAAGGCGATGTCCGCCACGGAGATCACCGTGGCGACCAGGACCACCAGGCTGTCGCCGTACTGCTCCGACAGGTAGGCCCCGATGGCCGGGCTCGTCACCAGGCTGGCGGCGAAGGTCGCCGACACCTGACGGGGACGGAGAGTCCTGATGAAGTGGAACAGCTGATCAAACTAAACCAGAGTCCATTCGTTCATCCTGGGATTCTGTTACTGGACAAGTTATTACGTCACTCGATGAGTTGCGGAGATTCGCGCAGAGCAAAAATAAAAATAAAGGCGCCGAGCCGCCGTAGAGGAAATAGCAGCCGGCAGTTGTTGTGAGTCACATGACGCAGGGAGAGACGTCTGTTCGACGAGTCGTCTAAGGTGTGCGAGCGTGGGGGTCCCGGTCCACGTTGTCCCGTTTTGACGTGAGGGACGTAACAAGCCTCCTGTTCACTCGTCATCCAGCTGATCAAGCTAGCGTTAGCTCGCTAATAACAGCAGTAAAGCAGTTAGCAAGACTAAGACACGTTTTTATTTACTCGCCTCTTTTGGACCTTTTATTTTCCAATGTGTTGTCTGATATTTTGTGCTTTGTCCCATATCGGTTATTGTTGACAAATATATTTGTGTGTGTTGTACTTTTTAATGCTGTCATTTACGGTAGTCTAGTGCGCTTGCGCAGATACTGTAGGTTATACGGTAGTTGATGTTATGCCTGTAAAGGGAGACACACACTGATCCATTAAATCAACTAAGAGGCCTCTAATGAATTTATTTACAAATGCCATTTTAAATTCATCTCATAGCACTTGGTTGTTTTTTAGCTCTATGCATTTACTTAACTTGCACGACAATGATGGTAATAATTTAATGAATATGCTTCAAGTGAACATGAGGGTGTGTGTGAGTAGCATAGAGAACTAGTTCTGACGAATTTGAGGTTCTGTTTTAGAATAAAGGGTTGGAAATTTAAGCTTTTTAATGCTGTTTAAAAAAAAATCCAATTCATTGATTAATCGAAGAAATAATCGACCGATTAATCGATTATCAAAATAATCGTTAGTTGCAGCCCTAATGCACTGTCACACGTCTGCTCCCTGTGGATCGTTACCAGTCCGTAGGCGGTGCTCCTTTCGTGCTCCTCCGTGATGTCGGCCACGTAGGCGAAGATCACCGAGAAGGTCACAGCGAAGATCCCCGACACGGAGATGAGGGCGAAGTACCACCTGGAGGTGTGTGTGGGGGGGCATCATGAAGGACTTTGATATCAACACGTTTAACGATATGAACCAAGGAGCATTAACACACACGCGTGGTCTCACCAGGGGCTGATCCTCATGAAGGGGATGGGGGCGCAGGTGAAGAACACCGTCATGAGGAGGAAGGACTTCCTGCCCCAGATGTCCGACAGGGCGCCGATCAGAGGAGCCGACAGGAACGACAGGAAGCCCTGAACCACAAGACCAACATTCACGAGTATTGTTTCATTCTTGTGTCTTCTGAGGTCGAGTTTCTGATTTTACAAACCAAAGGATCAGTAAAGAACCGACAGAGAAGAGTCGGTGATTTAATAACGTCACGTCTGATCAGATATATACAAATATGTATTTCTGTTAAAAGAAAACAAAAGGAGAAATTCTTGCCTTCAACGTTCTTCTATTTTCATAGTTTGTGAAGATTGATCATTTGTTGCTTTAGTCACTTAAGTCTCTTCAGCACTCGTTTCCCGTGTGAACGCACGTCGTCGGCGACACTCAAACTCTTCCTCCTGAACGGTCAGCGTTTCATTTGGACCATCGGCTGCTAACGCTAATGCTAATGCTCAATACCGATTAGTCTCCGGTACCCGAGCACCTTCTGTACCTCGTGAGCCGTCGCGCTCAGAACTCAGATCTGCGTCCGTCTCTGGTTTGTGAGACACGTCCGTTCCTGACAAAGCAGTTTGGTTGTTCACTCACTCACAGAGCAGATGTCTGAGGTCTCACCTTGACGCCGTGAACCAGGCCGTTCATCAGGAAGGTGTGCTGAGGAAACGTCTCATGGAGGACCTGAAAGCACCAGAACACACAGAGGTCACATCGACACGTCCAACAAAACGCGGCTGAAGGACGCGACGTATCCACCCCAAGAATAAAACGCTGGTGAAGTTGTAAACCGTCTTCTCAGAATGTGCAGCGGAAGCGATCGTCTTCGTCACGTAGCAACCGGAGACTTTTATTCTTCAGTCTTGTTTTGGTCTCAAACTAAGAATGAACGTTTTAACACATTTCTGTACAATTTCTGTTCTAGAATTCACTTTGATTATTAATTTAGTCCCCAAAGTAAAAACATCTGTTTTAAAGTTGCTCTTTTACTTTGTTATGTTCAGGCCTCCTGAAGAATGAGCACTCGTATCCTAATAAAATAAAGAGCAACTGTTAATGTGGAAAATGAATGTGTGTGTGTGTACTCACTGTCAGCATGGGCGTGGTCAGCAGCCCCCAGGCGAAGAACTCCAGGAAGATCACCACCACGGCGTGAGTCACTCTGGCTCGGCCTCGCTGCGGCGAGAACAAAGGCCGAACATTAACCATCGATCCGACACACACGCACACACACAGAGACACAGAGACACGCACAGAGACACGCACAGAGACACGCACAGAGACACGCACAGCGACTGGGTAGAAATCTGAAAGTATGATGAAAACACAGACGTCTTTGTTGCTTTTCTCAGTTTCATAATCATTGTAATCTGAATGAGTCGGTTTTAATATCTTCATTCAATTTATCTACGAAGGTACCAGAGACGGAGCGCATGAACCAACTTTTGGGATTTCTCTGGAGAGATTCTTCTCATCTGCTGTTTGGGTTAAAGTGGCGGCACGTTAGATCACATCAAAGCTACAGACTCACTGCTTCACTAGGACTCACCAGGACTCAGCGCGTCACAAGACTCACTGCTTCACCAGGACTCACCAGGACTCAGCGCGTCACAAGACTCACTGCTTCACCAGGACTCACCAGGACTCAGCACGTCACAAGACTCACTGCTTCACCAGGACTCACCAGGACTCAGCGCGTCACAAGACTCACGAGACTCAGGGCGTCACAAGACTCACGAGACTCAGGGCGTCACAAGACTCACGAGACTCAGGGCGTCACAAGACTCACGAGACTCAGCGCGTCACAAGACTCACGAGACTCAGCGCGTCACAAGACTCACGAGACTCAGCGCGTCACAAGACTCACGAGACTCAGCGCGTCACAAGACTCACTGTGTCACCAGGACTCAGCGCTTCAAAGACTCAGCGCTTCAAAGACTCAGCGCTTCAAAGACTCAGCGCTTCAAAGACTCAGCGCTTCAAAGACTCAGCGCTTCAAAGACTCAGCGCTTCAAAGACTCAGCGCTTCAAAGACTCAGCGCTTCAAAGACTCACAAGACTCAGCGCGTCACAAGACTCACCCCACAAAGGCACCAGTGATGGTTGCTGCCTTTCAACCAAACGACACAACAGATTTTTAAAAGTTGCTTAATTATAAGACGACAGATTAAAACAGTCTGGCAGCCGTTAATGAGCGAGTTTGTCTGACAACTAAAGTACAAAGGAAGGTTGCACCTGGATTTCATTTGCATGATGCCTTCACTGACCTGTAAAATGTACTTCTGAGCTCATACAACACAGCAGGAGACCCGCTGACCCACGTGCCGTGCCGGTGATCCTCTACGTGCGAGCGTCTAAGAAGCGTTTCGTGTCCAGCTGGTCACGAAATAAATGTTTCCTGATCCTGATTCCTGGTCGACAAATGTCCGCCTGAACTTCCGGTCTGGAGTTCTGACCCGCAGCTTGTTTACGTTACCTGAGGTAACCAGGTGGGAGCTGGCTAACGAGGAGCTGGGGTCTACTTAGCTCAAGTCTAGCTAACTATCTCGACTCTAGCTAATTAACGTAACGCTAAGTCTAGTTAACACGCTACCTTAAGTCTAGCTACGCTGGCTAGCTTAAGTACAGCTAGCTAGCCCCGAGTTAGCTGCTAGCGCTCCATGCCCTGTCAGCTAACGGCTAAGTGTGTTGTTGTTGTTGTTGTTGTTTTGAGTCCATCACGTTCCAGCTTGGTTCCGTTCTCCGGTGGTCGCTAACCGGCCGAGCTAGCTGCCCTTCTTACCGAGCCCCGGACCAACATGATGTCGCTGGCCTCGGTGGTCGCCGTTCTCCCCCGGTTCATCTCACATCTCGCCGTGGCGGCTTTCACATCCCGTCCCGGCGGCTCGGCGTCCTCCCGAGGTGTCTCCGTCTCTTCCAGGGTGTCGCGCTGCGGCGTGAGGTAAAGCTGCGTGTGTGCGCGGTCACGTGCTTCCAGCGGCCGTTAAGCACCGTGAAGACGCGGCGGCTTTTACGCGAGAGCAGAAAGATTCCTCCGCTCTGATCGTAACGTCACTGTTTGTCAACTTGTTTTAAATACCAGCGTTCCCCGCTTTGAACGCTTTTTAAACGCCGCCCTGCGGAGACGGCCCCGATATTAAATACGAGCGCTCTCTCTTCGAACAAAATACAAGCGGTTCCCAGATCCGCTTGTATTCAGATGTAATTCTCCTTTGGACAGTAAGTAGTTTATACATCTGACTCTGGGTCAGTTTATGTATCGTTGTATATACCTATTAAAGCTAATTGATTTAACATAATATCAATGCTGATAAACGATTCTTTAATTAAATAATAAAAAAGAGATTATCAGTATTTGGAAGCAAAACGCGAACAGAAAGCTCCTGGATCACTATTTGGAAAGCGGGAGAAAGCGGCACTGGGCTGTGGAAGAATTTTTTGGCTTCAATGCAAACAATCACCAGCGTCAAGGCAGCCGGCGGGCCCTTTAGAGAGCTCACTTCCGGCTGATGTTATCAAAACAATAAAAGCCTTTCAGAAGCGGGAAACTGCTGGCGGTTTTTAACGGTGTTTTGGTGGCTATGAAAAACGTAATGGGAGAAAATGAAAATACAAGCGAGACACACAAAGGTTAAGAAAGCATAAATTAGAAGAAAAAAACGTAGCATGGAAATCATAATTGCATATTAATACAATACTATATTAGAAACTGATTATATTTTACTTTATCCATGTGTGGTTAATTAATTGCTATATTTGTATTCATATTTTATTCATGCATTTAGTAATTACCTTTGGGTACAGTAGAGGGCAATAGTTGTCCCACATGTTTATACAGCCCACCAAGAGAAACAGTAGATGAAGAAGACTACCCGGATGTACCGCACCTGATTTATTGTGGGTTAAAAGATGAATCAATTTGAAGTGGATAATCTGAATGAAAAAGTCAGAATTAGATCAAATGTGTTAAAGGTTTTTATCTCTCCAGTTCAAACAAGAGTGCATCTGTTTTGGGGAAATGAATGAATGACCTCCGCCTGGCAGACGAGCAGAATGAGTTCTACTGCAGATTCGATAGACAATGTCCTGATCTCATCCCCCACAGCTCCACCAACCTGCTGCAGTCCCCCTCCCTCCCCCAGCCCATCAGGTGCTCACGCCTCTACATCTATATCACCTTCCCCTCCCCCACCAGCAAGGACCCTCTCTATTCTGGAGAGAGACGTTATCCGGCTCTTTAAAAGACAAAATCCCCGTAAGGCAGCCGGCCCGGACTCCGTCTCCCCTCACACCCTGAAGCATTGTGCTGACCAGCTGTCTCCGGTGTTCACTGACATCTTCAACACCTCCCTGGAGACATGCCACGTACCAGCCTGCTTCAAGGCCTCCACCATCATCCCTGTTGAAGCTGGGGAAACATGTCTCAGCCTCACGAACCATCAGCACCGGTTCCCCCCAAGGCTGCGTTCTCTCCCCTCTGCTCTTCTCCCTGTAAACCAACAGCTGCACCTTCAGTCACCAGTCCGTCAAGCTCCTGAAGTTTGCGGATGACACCACCCTCATTGGACTGATCTCTGGTGGGGACGAGTCCGCCTACAGGTGGGAGTCTGACCATCTGGTGTCGTGGTGCAGCCACAACAACCTGGAGCTCAACGCTCTAAAGACAGTGGAGATGGTTGTGGATATTCCCGGAGGAACAGAGCCCCACCTTCCCCCATCACCCTGTGTGACTCCCCCGTCACTATTGTGGATTCCTTCCGTTTCCTGGGCTCCATCATCACCCAGGACTTCAAGTGGGAGCTGAACATCAGCTCCATCACCAAGAAGGCTCAGCAGAGGTTGTTCTTCCTGAGGCAGCTGAAGAAATCCAACCTGCCAGAGATGATGATGGTCCATTTCTACGTGGAGTCCATCCTCTGCTCCTCCATCACCGTCTGGTACGCTGCAGCCACAGCCAAGGACAAGGGCAGGCTGCAGCGTGTCCTCCGCTCTGCAGAGAGGGTGATCGGCTGCAATCTGCCGTCCCTGCAGGACTTGTTCGCTTCCAGGTCTCTGAAGCAGCTAAAGAGATGGTGGCCGACCCCTCCCACCCCGGACAAAACCTGTTTGTGCCCCTTCCATCTGGCAGGAGGCTGAGGTCCATCAGGACTACGACCTCCCGCCACACCAACAGTTTCTTCCCGTCGGCAGTCGGGCTCATCAACAGAGCCGGTCCCCCACTGACTGACTATAACACTCCACCGGTCACTCCCCCTCATACTGCACACGCCACTTTAACTGCAATTCATCACTTTGTCGTCACTCGTCACGTTGTCACTTGTTCGATAGTGCACTTTATGTTTAATATATTTTTACTTTTTAAAAATATTTTAAATGTTTAACTTTAACTTTATTCTCTTATTTTATACTAACCCATAGCCTTATTCTACTAACCCATTGCATTAGCGTTTCATTTTACTTTATTTTATTACTTGTGCACTGCTGTCTTGTTGTCTATTGTTACACTGTCTGCTGTCACGCACCAACCGCCAAGACAAATTCCTTGTATGTTTAACATATTTTGGCAATAAATGTTTCCTGATCCTGAAGTACATCCACACATGCTTGTTGTAATGTACCGGAAAATGCTGAACGTAATACGACTATGTCATAGCAACATACAAATCTTTCCAGGATATATGTAGAATACATTGAAAGTAAAATTATGTGTTATATATGTATATTTTATTTGTATGTGTGTTACAATAACAAACGTATTGCAATATGGATCCGGGGACACGCGCGCCAGTGCGGCAGGTGGCGGTATGCACCCCGCAAACAAAAAACAAGTAGAAGAAGAAAAGAGACGGAGAAAAAACAAAGCTCAAACGCAGCAAACGTTTTTAGCGCTTTTATTTTGGAGGGATGCGCCGCCCGACTTCCGTCGTCCCTCCATCTCCAGCGCGGCTAGCTTGACGCAGCGGCGCAGGGAACCGAACGGCAGGCACGGCGGATCAATTCGGAGCCACGGCGGATGATCGGGATTCACGCGGCGACGCCGACTGCTGAACCGGTAAGAACCCGCGGCCCCGGCTCGCCGCAGCAGCCGCCTAACGGGCCGCTCGAGCGGCTTGTGGCGTTTTACCGCAGAGCAGCTAGCTTAGCCCCCCCCCTCTTTGTTCGCCTGCGCCTGTTTTTTCTTTTTTTTCGCACCGATGCGGGTTTTTGTAAATATTGGCGCAACATGGCCGCCGAGCGGCTCTGTGTGCACATGTCGTAGAAACGTGGGAGTTTAACCTGCGTTATGTGGGGCTAACGAGGAGGAGGAGGAGGAGAAGGAGGAGGAGGTGAAGGTGGAGGAGGAGGATGAGGAGGAGGAGGAAAACTGTGACCTCTGAGGTGGTCGTCTTCATCGTCTTCATCATCACCACCCAAAACAAGCAGCAACTCATCGATCAGTTTACACGAAGAGAGACACACGTTAATGACGTCATGCTGTTAGTGTAAATGACAGCACGCGCACACGCACACGCGTGCGTTTCTTTGGTGTCTCTGGAGAACCCGGAGTCTGGAGGAGTTACTAACTGCAGAAGAAGAACGTGAGCATTGAAGCTACCGGTAAAAACCCAGAGAAGAAGAAGAGGAGGAGGAAGAGGAGTTTCCTGCTCTGCCTTCATGTGGCTCAGCGGGTCTGATCAGTCAACTCGTGTCTCTGTCTGACTGTCTCTCTTTCTGTGTCTCTGTCTGTCTCTCTTTCTGTGTGTGTGTGTCTGTCTTTCTGTGTCTCTGTCTGTCTCTCTTTCTGTGTCTCTGTCTGTCTCTCTTTCTGTGTGTGTCTGTCTGTCTTTCTTTCTGTGTCTCTTTCTTTCTGTGTCTCTGTCTGTCTGTCTCTTTCTTTCTGTCTCTGTCTGTCTCTCTTTCTTTCTGTCTCTGTCTCAAAACGCTTTTTTGTCTTCTAGAATTCATATTTTAACATGACAAAAACGGAGACATTTTACTCTTAAATGTCTGTAACCGGGTTGTAATCTGTCACTATGTTTAACTCTTCACACATGTTATACCTGGTTAATAAGCTGGTATAACATGTCAGTTACGTGTTAATACAACCTGTCAGTAATTAAGAGGTTAATGACCCGTGTCTGTCTCTTCCTCAGGCTGTCCTCTGTGACCTCGGCTGTCTCCAGGTGTTAGCCTGAACCCGGCATGTATGCACCCTGACCAGGGCCCGGCCTAATTCCTGGTGCTCCTCTCCCGCCGCCACCTCCCTCCTCC